GGAGGGAGGGAGGGAGGGAAGGAGGGAGGAAGGGAGGGAGGGAGGAAGGAAGGAAGGAAGGAAGGAAAACCCACAGACTTTGTGCACATGGTGTGGACGACCTGGGTTTTGTCCTCAAACCTCTGATCTCCAGATCCCAAGGGCCAAGTCCCAGCTGAATCTGACACTTCTTCATTCAGCTTTTTTTCTTTTCTTTTTTTTTTAATATTTATTTTTAATATCTATTTTTAGTTTTCGGTGGACATAACATCTTAATTTTATTTTACGTGGTGCTGAGGATCGAACCCAGCGCCCCGGACGTGCCAGGCGAGCACGCTACCGCTTGAGCCCCATCCCAGCCCCTCATTCAGCTTTTTTTCAAAGCTCAGTTAGGAACATTACTGAATACGCTGTAAGCAAAACCTCCACCTTGGGATCCTAGACAATATGAAAACACTGAAGTATCTCTTGTAGAAACTACGTATCACTGCTGTTTTAATTCACAGTAACATACTAACATACAACAAAGGAAAAATCCACTATTTCATTCAGTTCTGAGGAGTGACATAAAACACATAAAATTCGAAAATATTTTTAAATTTTTTTGCTTTTTAAAATTTTTATTCTAAAATGGAAAAATGTTTGAGACAAGTACTATTAGCATAAATTAGCATAAAATATTAATAGCATACAAATACTATTATGCTATTAGCATAAAACAAAAGTTAATGAAATAGTCTACAAAGGTAGCAAAAAATATACAAGGTCCTTTTCTTAACTCCCCCAAGTAGAAATTAAGAAGCAGAGAAGCAGTCTTTAAAGAGCTTTATGTGGTCTCATTTACTTTTTTTTTTTTTTTTTTGGCAGTGCTAGGTGCTGAACCCAGGGCCTCCTGTCTGCCAGGCAAGCACTGTACCACTGAGTCACACCCCAGCCCTGAATGCTGACTTGGTCTCTAGACAGCCCTCCTGGGTGACAGGGATGAGGAGAGCATCCGGTGTCAAACTCTCTGAGCTGTGATCACAATTGGTGTCCCTGAGAAGCTTGAGCGCATCCGGGTGAGGAACTCAGGGTGCTGAAGTCACTCTATTGGAGATTTACACCTAGCTGGTGATAAAAATCAAGTGTTTTGCAGTCTGTGAAGAGACCCCAGAGCCCATGGCTGACATCCCCTTTCCTATCAGAGTCACGTGCCCGGTGGACATTACCAGCACTCAGCTCAGCTGTGCAGGACGTCCAGCAAGGTCCCTCACAATCTAGGTCAGGTAGGAAGAACTGAAGTCCTTTCATAAGAAAAGGATGTCAATCATGGGAGATGCCAATGACAACAGAGCTGCCCCCCGGGAGGCCACCGCGTAGTGCCTGGCACTATCTTTCCAGGCCTAGTGGCTCCCACCCCTTCCCATCAGCTGACCGCCGAAGCCCAGAATGCAACAAGTGGGCAAGACCCAAAGTCAGGTGTTGGAATCGTATATAGCACTGAGGCATCGGATGTAGAAATGAGACGGTCATCATCAAATAACAAACCCATCTGCCCCCAAACTTGAAAAAAAACTCGCTTCCCATCCACTAAATTCACATTACTCACAAACAATGAGTCAGAGTCCACAACAGAAAGCAAACGTCATCTATTTTAGAAAAATCTTTAATGTGTTGTTTGGGACAATCCGATGAAACTTAAATCTGTAATGTGTCTTCTATTAACCAACCTCATTGTTAAATTCTCACTCAGGGCTCATCGGTCCTAGGATTATCAACAATGCCTAAAATTCTAAGAAAATAGGTCATAGTTCTCACTTGGTCATAGCTGATTGTAAAATTTCTTCCATTTCTATTTAAAAAAATTCAAACTCTTGAGCAGTTGGACATGGGGAGGTATGCTACACAGTGATGAATTTTTATTTGTATTTTATTGGCAGTTCAGTTCACTTGGCTTCAACATTTATTGAGCACCTACTATGTACCAGGCACTGTACTAGGTGCTGGAGACAAAAGATGAATAAGACATAGTCCTGTCTCCAAGGAGTTTACAATCTCTTGGAGGCAAACAGGCAGTGCAAAAACAGAGTATACTCTAAAATGAACAAAATTGTCAGTAATGTAGTAATATTGGGCCTTTAAATACAATGATATATTGTTGTTTGTAATGTCAAGGCAGACAATGAAATGCGTTTTCATGTGATAAAACAGCAAAATCCTCAACCCTAACCTTTGAAGAGTCACATGATAAAGGTAGTTGCTACTAAAAATGTACACCAGTTTTTCAAGTATTTCACACTTAGAAGCGTTATTGCCAAGTCTGTGCTGCGGTGCACCCCAAGGCTCCAGCCGCCGTCATTCACACCTCAGCACGCTGGGACTCAGCTTCTCGCTGAGTTTGTGGATCAGAATGGCCAGCTCCTCGGTCGCTTGGCTCTTGTCCTCCAAAAGCTCATACCGAAGGCTAGAGATGTCTTGCTTGATTTCTTTTAATTCACCTGTTAAGTATTTGTATTAAAAATATATATAAAATTGGTGATTCTCTTTGAATTTAGAAAAGAACAAAATAAAACTCATACGACTTGAATACATTTGCTTCCTAAAGTCTCCCAAGGTTTAAGAAATATCTGTCTTCACAAACACACTGACCTTTGCTCAAAGCTATAAGAACACTCCAGCTATGTCTGCAGGGCTGAAGCCCAGGCATGGTTCTGCGGCTGAACCCAACATTTTCTGTTTGTTTTATTGTGCTGGATCCAACCCTGGGCCTCTGCATGCTGAGCAAGCTCCACCCCAGCTTTTAATGCAGGGTCTTCTTGGTTACCTGACTACAGAGCTGCTCTCTTCATCTGCCCTCCTCCCTCTGCCCACAGACCTCAGGTCCACACCCATTGGTCATCTCTCCCATTTCCAGCATCAAGGGGAACCCACGCAAAACTGACCTTCACTAAAAAGAATCACTCTATCTAAGGGCCTAATGCTCCCATAAATAAGCAAATTAGAAATCAGAGTGGGAAGGGGAAAGGAATGGGTGGAAGGGGCTATTTATTAGGGCAGACAAAGGTCATGAGCTTGGAGCCAGGGAACAGGTGAGCTTGGGGCAGAGGTGGGGTGAGGGGTTCCGACACCATGCCACTGGCCACGGGCAGCCTCTGTTCTCTGGGGAGGACAGGAGGATGTCGGCTGTGCCGCGATTCTGCCTGGTGGCGCTCTGAGCAGAGGGAGATGGCGATTTGGATGTCTTGAAGATGACAGGCTCCGAGGGACTTAATAAAAGCACTCTGGAGCTTTTTGAGTTTTGTTTGCTTTTGCTTTTCTGTGGTACTGGGAACCAGACCTAGGGCCTTATGTGTGCTAAGTGCATGCTCTACCCCTGAACTACATCCACAGCCCACGAGAATTTCCTCACGTCATTGGGTACCACGGTGGACCGCCCTGCTTCTCGCTCCTACCCTACCCTTCCTGGTACGCAGAGACTACACATCAGCGCTGCATTTAGTTTGTCATTTATTAGATGAAAAGTTACTTCATCTAAGACCCTGCATGAGCTCTGTTATCAACTTTCTTATAAGAATTTTGTCCAAAACTCAATCTCATTGATTTTCCTCCTTTGGGCAAGCGCTTGATAAATGCTACTTGTTTCTGAAGCTTTTATGCCCGTCAAGCTCCTCCCACTTTGCTCCAGTTCTGTCTTCCAGGGGTGGCCATGACACAGCCGAGCAGGTTTCTGCCTTCCAAACCAAACACCCATCCCACTTCTTTCTCCCTGACACTGTCTAGGTCAGCCCCTAGTTGCTGGTTCTCAGTCGCACATTCACAGACTTCTTTTCTGCACACATGAACCACTGGATTGGCCCCGACTGGCAGGGATCTCAGATGGATCAGGTAAAGGCTCCACCGCCCACAGCGATGCCAAGGCCAGCCTTTCTCCTCTCTCCCCCGTCCACAGATCCATGCATGTCTCGGGGGAAGGGACACTTTCTGTTTTCAGGAAACTTTTTCCCCAGGTTTATTTTTTCCAACTCTTGGCCTGTGCTTTGGATCCGCCCCCAGCTCTAAGGCTGTGCCCAGGATGCGCCCTGAGAAGGAGACATGCTTAGGCAGGAAGCCAGTGGGCACAGTGAAGTTCACGACAGGAACTTCAGGCAAGGCAAATGGATTTGAGATTTGTTTCCAGATAAGACAGAGGCCTCCTGGAGAGTGAGGGGTCCATCTGAGGGGCCCCCATTGCTCCTCTACCTGCATCACTGGAAAATGTCGAGTCTCGTGTGAACTCACTGGAAATGGAGCAGACACCATAGGGGACCGCGGGTCAGGAGGTCGGCCATCTCCAGGGGCCAAGAATCTTGGGCACCCTGAAGAGGGGAGACTGCTCTGCACAGCATCTAGGTGCTGTTCGCTTGGAAGGTGGCATGTTGGAGGGGCAATGGGAGACTGTCCTGTCCATCTTGGGGGAGCCCGGGCCGCGCCCTGCTGTGGAGACTCCCCGGCCTCCATCTCGGAGGACGGGCTGCTCGGGGCTTACCTTCGTTCACCTCATCGTTCTCCTTGTCCACTTGCGCTTTCAGGACATACCGCTTTATCAGTCTCTTCATTATCTGCTGTTGGGCAAGGAGAAGTGGTCAGTGGTCACACAGCCCTGGACACTGCTCCTGGAAGAAGTTCTCAGAACTAGGGACACAGTACCCAGGCCTCAGACCCCGCCCCCTGCACCTGTCTGAGACTTCACTGCGTCACCCACGAACTTGTCTTTATGCCTCGGAAACGGAAGAAGCTTTACAAAACACTGAGTTGGAAGATTTCAAACCATGGTTTCTCTTCCAAATAAGAAATGGTTTCTTTCAGGTGCACTGACACTATATTATCCCCATAGACAGACACTGCCTTATTCACACTGTTACTGCAGGCTCAATACAAAGAATTCGGAAAATACAGAGAACAGCAAAAGAAATAAACAAAACCATTGATAATACCACTATCCTAAGATAATCGCTGTTGTGATTTTCACATATGCCCTTCTAATAGCTTTTCTTTAAATTTTATATATTCATAATTATTGCACGTATGAAATTTTACATTTCCTGGGTATCATGCTATATCCCAGGCTTTCCCCTCATAGCAATATATGTCACTGTTATTCTCCACTCTAAGTAAGGGTTCTTATAGGGTAATTATTTGTCCACATTGAAAAAAACTAGAGTCTTCTTTCATACCCAGAACATAAAAATTAATTCTAGTGCATCTTAAGTGTGAAAGACAAAACCTTCAAGTCCTTAAAAAAAGTGTAGGAGAAATATTTATTTCAAAGTGGAACTGGACTTTCAAAAAAGATAAAAATCTCCCACTGTAATGGAAAATATTGGTAAGTGTCCTTAGGACTCTAGATCTCTAGATCTGAGCACAGGGCAGGCCAAGCCGCAGAGCGGGAGAACATCCTGGCGGGACTTGTAACTGGCAAACAGTTGGTATCCAATATGTAAAAACACGTGTAAAAGCTGTGACTCAACAGGGAGACTCAAAAGAGCGAAAGGCAGACAGGCACTCACAGCCACGGAAACATGGACGCCAGCAGGCTCACGGAGCATCCACACTCTCTTCTGTTAATTAAATTTGGCAATGCCAAGAGGTGTTGGGAAAGACGGGGATCACGAGGACCCCCCTTTCCTGGACAAGCCACTTTGAGAGCAATGTGGTCTCATCTTCCGAAGCCAGACACAGGCACGCCTTCGTGCAGAAAGCAGGAAGGGCCCAGGGAGCCGCACGGTGGACCCAGAGGCAGAACAGACGCAGCCCTGGCCTGACCAGCGCGGGTGACGGGAAACAAACAGCAACAGGAGACGGACAAGCCAGTCACCGGGGTGCTCACTGCGGTGGGTGCTCACTGCGGTGCCCAGGAGCACACTGTGAGCCCCACACAGCAGCGGGAGGAACCCGAGAAGCACAACGTGGAAGGGAGAGTCCAGCTGCAGATCACGGAGCATGAGACAGTTGTTACGAAGCTCAATAGGAAATAAACCTGTTTTAGGACTGTCTGCATATTTAATGAGCCTATAATTTACAAAGAAAACTAAAGCAAGAGGATTAGAAAACCAAACTCCAGGATGGTGGAGGCGGGGCAGGGCGGAGGTGCACAGGAGCACAGAGTGGACCCTTGACATCCCTGGTTGGTTTCCCAGTGTGCACACAGTGGGTTTCTGAGTGTGCACACAGTGGGTTTCTGATTATGCACCCGGTGATGCTTGGCAGCTCAGCATCGCTACATGTGTCAAATACCACGCTTCCAAGATAACAAGAAACAGGGAAAGGCCTGAACCGAAACTCAGTCACAGGGAGATGGAAATCAGGGACCTTCTGATGCAAAGTCACCCTGGTTCCTCCAAACACCTGCTTGGGAGAATCACAACAGACCAAGGCAGAGCCACACTGTGGGCAGCGCCCACTTCACCAGTGACAGCGAAGCAGAACATCCGTGGGGGGGGGGGAGCTGGACCTGGCTCCCGTTGGCTCACAGACACGCTCTTCCTTTGGTCGGCGAGTGTGCACTGAGAGCCAGCTCCGGGCCAGGCTCTGTGCCAGAGACAGACAGGGCTGCCGCCACTCTGGCGAGACTTCTTACCTACCCAGAACAACTGAGGGAGGTGAGCGTATCAGGGATCTAAGTTGAGAGAAGAGTGAAGTGGATTTAGCTCATCTTTACAACAGTTCCAGAGCAGCTCGCTAAATGTCCTTCAATGAAGGAAGGAACAGACACAAGTGGCTTCTTCACGCAGGGGAACATTCCACAGCAGTTAGAATAAAAACTGTGATATACGTGCATCAATGCAAACAACAGTAGGAAGATAAGTGAAGAAAAAAGGGGTATGTGACGCTCATACAAATTTCAAACAACCTAGTGCATAATGTTATGGATGTATCTATGTAGGTGATAGATATCTAAAAGTGTGCCTGGGCAGAGTGCACACGGGACTTCCAGGTAACCAGGGTGTCTGGGGAGGGCGGCAGCTAATGCCATAGAGCAGGGGATTTAAGTTGTGTCAAAAATTTCTTACAAAAACTATCCAAGAGTGTGGCAGAGTGCTTTTGTTTTGCCAGGGATGTGGCTCTTCCACTGGGGCTGGCCTCCACTCAAGTGCTCAGGTGGTCCTCCCGCCCCAGCCTCCAGGGTAGCTGGGACCACAGGCACTGTCACCATGCCTGGCTTAGAATATGGCAAAAGCACTTGTCAAGTCAAGGTGGCAGCAGCACAGACACAAAGAGAATACTCGTGATACTTTTCTGTGTTTGAAAAAGTCCATAATTAGCTATTTTAAATGTAATAAAATAAAAACTCTTCAACCATTACAGCAAATAGTTGCTGCCTCGCATTTCCTGGGCCTCTCCAGCCCGGGCGGCTGCGCTGCCTCTTCAGCAGCCAGAGCCCTTCAGACCTGGTGGACATAGTTTTCATGTAGACACAGAAGGCTGAGAGGAGCTGGGAGTGAAGGGCTGTAGGTGGTCTGCATGAACCACTAAGAAAACTTTTATTTGTAAATCCTACCTCTGCAAAAAGTAAAACCTCTTGAGATGAAGGGGAGGCAGAATGTGTTTGGAGCAAGGAGTGTCTGAATTTGAATACAGGCCTTTATTTACAAGCCCAGAGCTCAAGACACTGAATCTCTAAGCTTCCTTTCCTCATCTCTATAACGGGGCAATAAAACTCAGCCCAGAAGGAGCTGTGCAGAGGAAACAATGCAGTGCACGTAAAAGCACAGGTTCTGCTGGAGAAGGTCAGCTACAGTTAGGGTGCAGACTAAGATGTCACCGCTCACGTTCCCCGATGCAACCCTCTCTCAAATACTTACATCAAGTTTTCTGAAACTATACGTAGGAAGTCTACGTGGTCTTTCACCCACTGCCAGAAGGGAAAGTGGTAGGAAAATAGAAAGTTTATGGTAAACGGATGGAGCTGGAGAATATCATGCTAAGCTCATAAGTCAATCCCCCCCAAACCAAAGGCCAAGGTTTTCTGATTTGTGGATGCTAGCTCACTGGGGCTGAGAGACAGAGTTACCTTAGCTTAGGTAGGAGGGAGGGGGGGGTATGAAAGGCAGTAGAAGGAAACACATCATTTCCTATGCACATCCATGACTGCATGAGTAATGTGATTCTACAACATGTACCATCAGAAAAGTGAGAGATTATACTCCATTTACGGATGATACATCCAAGTGGATAAATGTATTCTACAGTCATGTTCAAATAATTAGGGCACGTTTTTTAAAAAAGAAATTCCTATGTGGTTCAAGTTCCCCAGAAATAGCCTGAACAAAGCTCATCGACTTCCCTCACTGCGGGGAAGAAAGGAAGGCGAGCTGTTGTCACCTGTCACCTTCTGCCTGCTAAAGGCTACAGCTTTCCCCTTCAATGTCTGGTGTGTTTTTAGCTGGTCCCACATCCCACAGAAACGCCACTGTGATTTTTCCAGCTTAAACACTCCTGTGCACCAAGCCCCAGCCCCGCTAGGAGGCAAGAAAGCCCCTGGGTTGAACTGAAACCCTGGGTCCACGGTGCAGGGTTCCTGTGAGTCTCAGGAAGGCCGCCTGTCTGGGGCAGCCGCAGAGGCTCTCCCTTGGGACTCCCCCTGTGGCAACAGCTCCTGAAGGGGATCCCCCGTCACCCTCTGAACCACAGCTCAGAAGGCGAGCTGCCAGACCTGAGTGGTGACTTGCAGGTGTCTACCTCGGTGCAGAGAGAACGTGACAGTGTATCTTACAAAGCAGAGAGCCCCAGGAAATGACTCCCTTACTGGGACTCCGAGTTTCTTATGGTCATCTATGCTTCTGTGCAGCAAATGCTGCTTGTTTGTCCTGATAGTCACAGTGCTACAAACGACCAGGAGAGTCACATGTAACAAGTCAAAGTGCCATTTAAAAATTTACCTTCAATACCCCAAATTAAGTTGACCAATAACAGATTTATTGGATTTGCCTCTTTCGGTCCCATTACTAACTAACTACAGTAGCCTGTAGATTAACATCCTCACTCCTCAGACCTCCAGGAGTTATCTGGACTTCTTGAGGACACTTATGAGTCCCATTTCCAGAGGACACTGTGACTTTATGGTGTAGACTACGAATTTTCTCTGTCCAGGGAGTGGAAGGCCTGGAAAGAGATCCCCAAAGCTGAGACTGAGGGGTGGCAAGGTGCAGACCCAGCTGGTTCTCCTTGCAAACAAAACCAGGTTCCTTCCCAAACCCTCCAAGGAGCCAGAGCATCTTTTCACTCTTTTTTGTCCACTACCTTTTGTTTACTAATTCAAACTCAGGCTGCTGCTGCTCAGTACCATCAGGCCCTCCCTACCCTCCCCGACTTCACTCTCCATCTGCCTGAAAGCTGGACTTAAATCTTCTTCTGGGAAAGATTCCCCCTCCTCTCTCCCAGGCCAGGATTTCACACCTGTCATGCCTGGGGACAGAATGTGGGCTTCAGGACGGGTCTGCTCAAGCCAACCTTAGGAAGATAACCCTGTCTTCCATTAGATTCTCCAACTCTATTTTCTTCATCTTTCACTTCTCAACAAATTTATTGCACTTGGCAAGATATACGCAAGCTCTAAATCCTAGCTACCCATCACAGGGTGTTTTATTTTCGCTATTGTTAGTCTGCCTTTTGACAGTTTAACTTGCAAACCTCAGGTACTGAACCCAAGAAGATAGAAGAAAAGGATGACCACCTCCTGAATTCTTTTTTTTTTGTTGTTGTTGTTTTTTAATATGGTGATGGGGATTGAACAGGGCCTCATGCATGCTACGCAAGTGCTTTACCACCAAGCTGTCTCCCCAGCCGCCTCCCACCCCAAATTCTTGAAAAGAAAAGAGAATTAAATGTCCATTTTCTTTTAGCCCTTTAGTGGTTGGTGTTTGGTGGTTCTGTGTGAATGGTACCACATTAATCCTAATTAATATGAGCAAAGACGACTACTTACAGGACTCCAAAGAGATAAAAGCAGACCTGAACCAGTGGAAAGTCACCGTATTCTCAAAAGGAAATGAGGACATCATAAGGTGCCAGTCCCTGCTGTATGCAATGCCCTCACCTGTGATCCCAGCCACTCGGGGGGCCGAGGCAGCAGGGTGGCAAGTTCAAGACCAGGCTCAGCAGCCTGCAAGATCCCAAACAGAGCACAAAGGGCTGGGGTGGGGCCCAGGGGTGAGCACCCAGGCTCAACCCCCAGTACCCGAATCAGTGCCAATTCTCCTTAAGTAAACATTGATCTCAGTAAAAATACCACCAGGCTGTTTGTGAAGTAGACAAATCAACTCCAAAATTCAAACAGGACAGGGAGAAAGAAAGAGAGAGGGGAGGAAAGAGAAAGAATAGCAAAAAATGGGGGTTCATTTGTTTCATTTTGTTTTAAAACTACAAGAATTAAAATAATATGGTCAAATTGCATGAATAGACAGAATGGAAAAACTAGAAATAAATACAAATAGATACCAGAATTTAGCAATAAAAGCAGGATTTCAAATCAGTATAAAAGAAATATTATTCAAATACACTGAGCTATGTAATCATCTGGAAGAAAAAATGAATTTGGATCCCCACGCCACATATTATGCTAAAATATATTCTACATGGTTGAATATTTTCACATAAAACATGACAGAACTTAAGAAATATGGGTGGGTAGAAAGCTTGTTAAGTGATCTCAGATGGGAGAAGATCTTTTCAAAGACTGCACGAATCTCCGACCTGATAGACTTGGGAAGGTGACTGCAGAAATAAGAAATCACACTTGTGAATGTCCACACACAACAAAGTGGCAAAAACCTTCCCAACTCATAACACAACAGCTCATACCTTAAAATATTAAGAATTCCTCTTAACTTATACCAAAAGCCACCAAGAAAAGCAGGTAGACATTGGGTCCTAAGAATATAGAACACTAAACATAAAATCAAGGTCAAGTTCACTCAAAGTGAAGGCCCAGCTCATGCCCAGAAGCCGTTATCATAGGCTAAGACCCCAAGCCCCCGCCACACACTGTTTGGTTTAGGAAGGAAACAGATACCCTCATACATGTATCCTGAGTGTAAATGTTACAAGCTCCATCAAAATCAGCTTGATAATGACTAAAAAATTTAAATACACAGACACTTAACCAGAAAATTCTCCACATTTGCACGTTTGAAAGGTCAAGAACACGAGGTTGTTTCTGGCAGTATTACTTATAACTGTTACATACTGGCAATACCCTCTCTCTCAGTAGGAGCTGGATGAGATAAACAAGCACACCGCATGGGACATAATGTGACCATCCAAAGAATGGCTGTGGTAATCAGTGAGCCCATCAGTTCTGCAGAGTCCCCTCCTCCAGGAGAGCTGTGTGAAGGTGGCGTGTCACTCTCCCAGCACCACCTGACATCATCACTTCCTCTGTCCTCAAGACACCCCCGCACACCAGAATCTAAAGACCCAAAATGAGGCCAGCTGAGGAACAGAATTCAAGGGTCTCAGCCAACAGCAAATGCATAGGGTGTTGTATTTGTTTGTTTGTTTATTTTGGTACTGGAGATTGAACTCGGGTGATTAACCGCTGAGCCACATCCCCAACCCCTTTTATTTTTATTTAGAGACAGGGTCTCACTCAGTTCCTTTAGGGCCTCGCTAACTTGCTGAGGCTGTCCTTGAACTCACACTCCTCCTGCCTCAGACTCCTGAGCTGCTGGGATTACAGGCCTGCGTCACTGCACCTGCCCGAAGGTATTTTAAAGCAGTGCCATTGAAGGAGCACAGCCTGACCACAGTCACTTGGGAGATGGGTTGCCCTGGGCAAAAGCCTGGAGAAACAGTCCGATTTTCAAACTGTGAGAGAGGTATTTCTCTAATACACCATGACTCCGATTTCTTTGTCCAGTTCAAGGTTTATGCAACATGCTTTGGAAATTATAGCAACATTTTGCTTTCAATATTGAGAAAAGAACTCTTCTTCCTCAGCCAAAAAAAAGGGGAGGGGGAGAAGGAGGGGGAGAGGGAGGGGGGAGAGGGAGGGGAAGGGGAGGAGCAGTTAGACTGATTTCTAAAGTCCCCTCCAACTAGAGTGTTCTTTTCTAATCTTCTCTGTTCCCGTCTTATAGCACCACTCGCTATGCACACACAGACACACGCACACACACACACACACACACACAGACACAGAATCACACACAGATAGAGATGTCTAAGGAGTTCTTACCTGATAACGAGTTGGCTGGTTGAGAATGCTGTTAAAACTGTGTGATTCAAAAACTCTTGAGTTAGACTGAGTGAAGAGGTTTAACTAGGAAAAAATACAATTAACCTAGTAAATTAGAATACATTCATTTGGAATCAGAAGTACAGTCTCTCCTATTCTCCTTGGTAACATTTCTGAGGAACACCTTGTGGAGGGTGAGTTTCTACGTGACTTCATCTAATTCCAAAGGCAAGCTCTAAGGGGGACGCGTACTCACACTGGTCCAAGTGTTGGCAAGATGGGCTGGTTGAGAACACGTTTTCTAAAAGTTGGCTCCTACTGGGCACAATTTTCCCTGGGACCTGGTCTTGGTCAAGATGTGCACTTGGCTCCTGGCAGCGCAGTTCCAGGGAAGCAGTTCAGTCGGCTGCTGGGCCTGCGCAGGGCACGCTACTGGGTGTCACTGTGGGATCCCATAGCCTTACAATACAAGTCTCAGTAATGCATCTTCTCAAGGCCGTACCAGAGCTGGGATCACACTTGGGAGAGAACTGGGCTACAGAATCTTGGTTTTCTTTCCCTCCTCTGCTTCTCTTCTTACGGTCTAGACTTTGGGCAAGAATGAGAGCAGGAGGGGCACAGAGGCACATCCACTCCCGTGTGACCTATTACTCATGGGCACACTGCCCCCTGGTAGGTGTGGTTCAAAAGCAAGCCCCCCCCCCCCGTCCAAAAAAGCATATACGCCCCAGGACCCGAGAACCACCATCACAATGCGGGAGGTGAGGGATGCGGGGAGTGGAGGTGGCGCGGACCCTTCCACTAGCTCTGCAGCGCCAGGGAAAAACCTCATTAGCGGAGTTAATTCTCCTGTTGGCCACTGGAGGTCAGTGTCTGCCTACCAGCCAAGGTCAGCCAGACAGGTGAGCAGGAAAGGCTGCTCCAGGGCCTCCCTGGTCCAAAAAGAGCAACAGGAAATGGAATTCTCCAAATTTTTACTAAATTCAGCATACACGAGTGTCTATGACTGTGCAGAAGGTGAAAGGGTCTGAACAGGCCTCTGCGCCACTTAGAATCACAGCGACCACTTAAGCCAGATGTGGGAGGCCTAGGAAGCGGAGGCTCTTGCCTCCCCAGAGGTGAGCCCAGCCCATCTTCTGCTACCAGCACCTTTCCTGCCCGTGGCACACACAGGCCGGAGCAGGTGACCTCAGGGGACACCCTCAGTGGACATCCTACATAAACGCTCCCCTCACTCCTGGGAGAAGCTAGTTTGCTTTAGAGGGGTCCAGGCAGTGGGTGTGCTCTTCTCAACCTGAGTTCCCCTTTCTACTCTATGACAGGGTCAGGAAAGAGGTCCACGGACTCAGCTGCCTACAGAAAGAAAGAAGAAAACTAAGGTGTGTTCTGTGAGGTGCTAGAGTTGCAAACTCTACACCTGAGACACTCCTTTTATATACTTCAGTCTTTCAAAGCAAAGTCAGTTTCAGCAGTAGCAGGCGCCACCCAGGACGACAGTTCCACCCAGGCCCCTTTAGGAGACCTGCTGCCCCACAGCTGAAAGTACAGCTCAGGGAGGGAGAGGGAGGCCGCAGCCTGGACTGGGCGGCTGAGCACACAGCAGCCAGGTGCAACAGAGAGCTGGACCCAGGCCTGCCCTGCACGGCCAGCCCAGTTGTAGGGGAGGAATTTGAAGGGCAAAGTTGTCTTATTTATAAAATGGAATAACGGATACCCACCTTGCAGCACGACCTGAGGTTCAGACGTACTGCAAAGCACTTTGTAAACTGTGAACAGGGAAGGGCCCTGATATTTGTTGAGGCTGGAACTTTGCACATCTCATAGTCCTCACCACAACCCTCCAGAAGCTTCCTCTTTCAGGGGAAGCAATTAAAGCTCAAGTGGCCACGTGGTTTATCCCCACTACCTGTTCTGACTCCTAAGAGCCAAGGTTCAAGCCCAAGTCCAGCAGCAGGGCTGTCTTCCTTGCACTGTGATGCTTCTCGCTGTGTGCTTACGAGGTTCTGTTTTAAATCTCGGCATGCCATAACCCTCATTCCCTTGCAACCTAACAGCTGTCAGAGCTCACATGCAGGCCAGAGAGGATTAAAAGATTGCATTCTTAAAGAATAAGATTCTAGGGTTGTAACAAATCTTGCAAACTCACCTCTATCTTAAAAACCGAGAAATTAAATTGCATTAATCCTCTTTTCCCCAGCTTCAACTGAGAAAAAGTACCCACCTCTACTCAGGAAGGCCTGTATTTTAGAGATTTTTAACCTAAAATCCTGTGGGCTTCTAGATTGGTACAGCTACAGGCCATTTTCACAATTTTAGACAAAAATTGTATATTAAGCCTGTACATTTTATCCTATCTTCCTCCTTCACTGTTATTTGAATTTTTCCTGTATTTTCTGTCTCCTATACCAAGCTTATCTTTGAAAATTAAATTCACGCTCATAAAGTGCCATCATGAAACGTTTGTTAAAATTAAAGTCTGACTCAACTGGGACAATGCAGGCAGGCCATTCTTGCTATTATAAAAGGGGCGCTTGGAGTTATTTGAGGAGCTCTCAAATAACTCTCAGTTTTATGATACTAAAGGAAAAAAGTTACTTAGCCCAGTGTAGCCATGCTCAGTCTATGAACAGGAAGAGGATGATCTGAGGCTAAAATTATTTAACTTCAGAATCACAGCCGAGAACATGGAACACACCAAAGCAAAGTGCTTCCTAACAACAAGGTTTCTGTTTACGTTTAACAGTTCAAGGGAGTCTTGTCTGTTTTTAATCTGGTGGTTCCCAGGAACTTCTGACCGCCCAGGGCAGACAAGTGGCTCTTGAAACATTATGCAGACATCAAGCCCTTGTCTATGGCAGCTGGTGGGATGCACGGCCACTTTCAAGGTCTTCCAGGTTCACACATAAAAACTATTGCACCACACATAAAAATTACACATCCAAAGACAAGGAGAAAGAGACAAAACATGGATTTTAAGGTCTTGGTAAGTTGTCGATACCTACCCTGGACTTTGAGTTACCCATTCCCATTTCTGGATCCTTCTGTAGCCTTCTCCTTCTACATTTGGAGAAGTTGATGATCCGCATGATGAGATACACAAATGATTTTGGACTAGGAACCAGGCTGAAGGGTGGGGGCAAGGTTTTCCCATCATCAAAATAGGAGAGCCAAAGTTTGGAACGAGCAAATTTCCATTCTACGTCACTGTCATCCTGTGTTGCAAAATAGAAATTACTGATTTGAAATTAGCTACTAAATTTTTAAACTAAATATTCCAGTAACAACATAAATTCTAGCAATGAATATAAATGATTTTTGAAACAGGTAAGGAACTTATACGTAATTTTCTGCATATGATCTCTATATGCTATGGGATAAACTGAGGATCACTTCTATGACACCATTTAAACTTTTTCTTTTCCATATTCCTTTGTCTATACCCAGTAAAATATAACCAGAATTTCCTATTCCTCACAAGATAAGACAAAAAGATCAGAAAAATTAGAGGCAAGAAAAGACAAAAGTGTTAATTCCCTCCCCCCATTCTGCGCCCCACCAATTCTGCATGTTCAAAGTTAGTTCTTTGCTCTCTACCTCACTCTCCCCTCCCCACACCCACCCAAGCCAGGTTATACACGTGATGTATTATACTCTAAGGGCAAAAGGAAAATGAGAATTTAGAATAGATTTTGGGAGATTATGTTTCTGACACATGCCCTCAAATGTCATGTAGGAACCCAGTAGCCTGGACCGGTCTCCATCTACTCCTCTCCTCAGGGCCACGCCATGGTGATGGGGTGACCATTCCAATAGGGGCAAGGAAGAGGGGGCCCAGGGTGGAGGAGGCTAGGTCGCTAGGTCACACAGCCCAGACAGGCACGGACGCACCCACATAGGTAGGTGTTCAGCGCTCTGAGTTTTCATTTCTGGAGGAGCTAACCTCTGCGCTGGGGACACTATATTACGAGGCTCTAAGCACACTTGGAGATTTGGTAGAGCTGAGAAACAGCCAGGCACTAGGAAGATATCGAGCACAAAACTGGGGGATGGAGGAAAATACATTCAGTGAAGAAGATGCTACCACCCCAAGCCCAACCAGAGACCCGAGGTAGAGCCGTTTCCAGATGCTAGAAATTCTGACCAGATCAAGTTTGCCATCTGTTTGCAGGCATCTAGCAATTCTTCCACCAGGAAGGACGCTGACTGGCTAACCCAGGAGACAAAATGTGTCTCCCTACGGCAGGGCACGTGGTCAGTGGTTTCAAGACTTCTGAGACACCCTGGGAGAGGTGGAGTGGGAGGGACCTCCTGGGATCTGGGCTCCCGAAAGCCCTGGGCCGCAGTGACTACCTGCTCAGGGGGAGACACAGCGGAGACCAGGCTCTCTGCACGGAAAGGAGCCTCTTTGTGACCACAAGGCACAGAAACAGGTGTCGCATGCCGTCAGAGTGGGATGGCAAGGGCAGATGCTGGGGACACAGTGCGCTTACCTCAATTTCTTGATAGGAGCTATTGATCATAGCAATGAGCATGTTGAGTAGAACCACCACCATAGTTACATTGTATATCCCGTAAAGGACATAGCCAATATTCTCTATGAATTTGTGGTCGTATTTGAGCACAACAGAAGTCACTTCAGACAACCCAAATATCGACCAAAACAAAGTCTTGAAACTTTCTTCTACACTGTGGGGAAAAAAGACACACAGTAATTGATTAATGATTCCAAGTACTAATTATTCAGAAGTAAGACAAGTTAGGGCTGAACACCATACAGATGTAAAATGCAATCAGAACAAACATTAGCAACTACTTCTAGCAATTTGAAGATGGTTAATAGAAATCCCCCCTCAGGTTTTCAGGACTGGCGATTAAATGGCCAACGGAGCTTTTCTGAAGGACCTTCCAGGGAAAGTTGTTGTGCTCAGCAGGAGAAAGCTGAAGCCATATTACAACGCCCACTCCTTTCTCCTGGGAGGATGAGAGTTTGAAGTTTGGTTTGGTAGACGGTTTAGATATTTAAGTCAGTTTTCCTGGAGTAGAACAGAAATTAAAATTATGAATCTACTTTAAAAAAGTATATGAACATATTCCTTGCTGCATCACTTGCTATGAAATAATTTGCTTTTAGAATAAAAGCAAGCTAGATATGCAAGGAACAGGCTGAATGATTCTGGAGCATCCAAACCCGGAAGGCCATGCAACCACGGGGGAGGGGGAGGGGGAGTGGGACAGACCTGTCTCCATGTGTTCACTCAGCGATGCCAGAGGAGGGTTAAGTACGAAACAAGACAGCCACGGTGAAAACCTCTATCATCCAGTGACAAGGGAAACCAGACACTTACATTCTACTTATGGAAAAAAAAAAATCTCAAAGTGTCCCAAAGACACAGGCATTTCTGGAACTAGGGAGAGCTAGCAGACTGGGGGCCAAGGGTGGGCCGGGGAACAGCCTGTCATCGTAGACACCTCTCTGAATCTTTTGTCACAAGAACATACAGTCAGTCACCGCTGGGTATCTGTGGGGGCTGGTTTCTAGGACTCCCTGGGAATATGGACGTCTGTGGGTGCTCAGTCCCTTAAAGAAGGCTTAGTGTTTACATATAACCTATGCACCTCTCCTGCATGCCGTAAACCATCTCCAGGTGGCTTACAATGCTTGATATGGTGACACTGCAATGCAGCTGTTGCAACAGTTGTTCTCCTGTGCCGAATAGGGGACAAGGACAAGGAAAAACAGCTGTGTGGGTTCAGCAAGGACACGGTGTTGTCAGGCCACTCGTGACCCAGGGCTCGCTGAACTAACAAGGAGCCCACAGATCCTGAGAGCCAACAGCGCCACCTCCCCAGAAGCCACCCTTGGCTGGACATGAAGTGGGGCAGCGGAACAAGGAGGCTGCGTATCTCCCCTGATCACAGGACTCCCTGATTCCTCCTTCAGCACACCAGCACCCGGCTCTCCCACACCAGTCCCCCCCTGGCGTTCCTCAGCCGCGTTGGCAAAAGGCACAAGGCTGTTTTTAACATGTGACTGACTTGTGATCCCTGATCCGAGGACTAAATAAATAATCCTTGAACAGTTATGTAAAATTCCATTACAAAGAAAGGTTCTAAAGCAAGTTCTTTTTTCCGGAAAACAATGAATGGGAATGGTATTTAAAGAGGGGGAGGGAAAGGGGTGGTGCTGTGCACCTCTGTGCTTTCCCCAGCAGGTTCAAGCTGATTGTTTCCTTTATTACGATAAAGAGAATCTCAGTCTCTCGCACCTTCTGACTGCTCTCTGTTAACTACTGGGAACACTAGTTCAGAGCCATTCAGATGCCGCAAGGCCTGGGCGTGCTATTCTCTACGGGGAACCTGCTGGGAGTGAAGCTGCTTCCCAGCCGTGGCTTCCTTCACAGGGCACCCAGGAAAGGCAGGAGGGAGCCTCACGTCAGGGACTAAGATACAGGGGAGGCCATCGCCATGACAACCGAACACCAACAGGACCCACAGTCTGGGTGCCTCCACCCCAAGGCCCACAGGGGAAGTGAGACTCAGCTGGGTCAAGGAAGGCTTCCGGGGAGACAGTCACAGTGCAGGAACCAGGTGACCCTGGGCAGGAAGTGGCCTCAGCACTCCAGTGGGCTCCAGGACACGCCCTTTCCTCTCGCCCTCCTCCCTGCACTGTCAAAGACTCATTGAAACAAACCAGGGCTTCCGTTTCAGAAGGGTAGTCCTAGCTACAAAGGGACAGGCCTAAATCTAACATAAGGAAAGAGACATCCAGGATTAGCAATCCCATACTCCATTCTCTTAAAATAGCAGATTTTGGCCAGGATTTTTTCCGAATCCTGATTGATTCTGTGGCCAAAGTTCACTAAGGTAAAAGAGATGAAGTTGTGGAGCCACAGAATCACACGCAGGAACTGACTGTTTTCATGGGTTTTTTTTCTGCTCTTAAAAACACCTTCACTGGGGTGATTGAAATTTTTCTTCTGCTTCGTCTAGACCTGCTGGAAGTCCTCTTCATGCTCGACTTACGTGGTGAAAGCAGCGTTGACTTTGGCCCCCAGGTAGTAAGAGTACAGTATGAACATGCCGATCATGAAGGCCAGAAACACCATGATAAAGAGGACCATGAACTTGAATATGTCCTTCACCGTCCTTCCAAGAGAGATCTGCAAGGGGCCGAAGCTCTCGTTGGCAGGGAGGATGTAGGCGATGCGAGAGAAGCTGAGCACAACTGCGATGGCATACAGGCCTTCGGAGATGATCTGCGGGTCAGAAGGCAGCCATTTATCTCTAGCTAGAAAAGAGAGAGAGATGAACAATGGAGCGCCCTGCCCCGGCCAGCAGGCAAAGTGAACGCACCAGTAGGTCTGTCCTGTAGGTGGCTGGCTCTGCTCTCCGCCCACTTAATGAACTGTCCAGTACTATTCTTACGTTCATCAAGAAACAACATTTCTATATTACTTTCAGTGGAGAAAAGACCAGTGTAAAGACACTAAACTGACAACACATGGATCCGAAAAAGAATAAGAGATAAAGAAGTTAGAGCACTTCTCAGACACCGAAGTGTCCAGATGACGTGACCACCCACTGGCCTGCCCTCTCATCGTTAGGCTTATTAATCAGCTGTTCTGGTGTCCAATGGGCATAGCTGGAGTAAGACTTTTTAAAAAATATCTTTAGTTGTAGATGGACACAATTTAGTTGTAGGTGGACACAATATCTTTATTTTACTTATTTTTATGTGGTGCTGAGGCTTGAACCCAGTGCCTCACCTGTGCGAGGCAAGCGCTCTGCCACTGAGCTATTGTCCCAGCCTGAAGTGAAACTTCTTTCCCATGTTTGGTGGGAAATTAGTTTGTCTATCAGTTTATGCAAGTGAAATCTCAGACAGCATTGAGGGAGAGTGTCACTGGGCCACAGTAGTGCTGCCAGGTGACGGCCAAGCAAGCTGACTTGTTTCTAGAGGACGTAAAAGGCCAGAAAGGGTAAAGATTGGGGATGCAGATTCACAACAGGAGCCTAATGAGCCTTTCAAGGTTACTGAGTCTGCAGCAGATCCATTTCCCCGGCAGGTCAGTGAAGAACTGTGTGGCTGCTTTTGCGTGAACCGGGTCATTTCCAAACGCATGGACACACTGTGGACATTGCAATAAGAAACGTTAACATTCACTGAACACTCCCAGCACGTCACTGTCACGTGCTGCCCCGTGAGCGTGTGGCAAATGCTGACCTCTTGGAGATGCAGAAGCCAAGACTTGGAAAGTCAAAACCATGATCAGATCACTTGTCCAGGAGGTGGAAGGTCAGCAGTCACCAAGTCCCCTTGAGACAACAGCCATTAAATAGGCACAGATAAACTCAAGACACATAAGTCAGGGAAATATCAAGACCTAGATAACCACGCTTCAGTTCCACACATTGCAAGACCTTGCTCGTGAGAGCAGGAGCCCAGCCTTCCAACCTGGACTCCCCCCGCCCCCCCCGAACCCTGACTGCCTCTACAGTCATCCTCCAAGCAGAACACACACTCCACGCCTGAGCTTCCGGCTCTGCAGGGCTTAGATTTATACACATGGGTGAAGATTGTCACCGCAGCTCAGGGAAGGGAGCAAACAGCACCCGACAGGTCTGTGCTGGGCAAGAGGGCATCCGCCGCCTTTCACCTGGATGTCCACGGGGCCCCTGCTCTTGGTGACAGAAAAGTCCGGCAAGAGCCCGGCTCTGGGCCAGGTGGGTCTGCTGTCTCCGCAGCTGCGGCTCTCTTGGCCTCCGCGCCCCGGCACCTCAGCTTACGTCTTTTTCCCGTGGCTCTCACAGCCGTTTAGACTTCCCTTGTCTCATTTGCTTGAACCCACAGCCTCGGGGACTCTGGGCCCTGAGGATCTGGCTTCCTAGACTCCAAGGCTCATGCTGCGTCCACTGTGCACAAATGTGCAACACACCTTTCACACTAACACACGGAAGTGGTCCATTATTTAAGGGGGGGCTTATGTGGTTTCAGTTACTCATGGTCAACTGTGATCTGAAAATTTTAAGTGGAAGTTTCCACAAATAAACCATTTATAAGTGTTATATGGCACAGCATTCTGAGCAGCCCGCTCAATCTGTGCAGACCCATTCTGTCTCTTGTAGGACATGAATACCAGTGTGTCCATGTGGTATAAGCTACCTGCCCATCAGTGACTTAGGAGCCGTCTAGGTGATCAGACCCACTGTCACTGTATTGCAGTGTTCATTGTTCAAGAAACCCTCGTTTTATTTAATAATATGCCCAGAGAAAGAGAAGCGATGCTAACAACTGTATTATCATATGTTATTATAATCATTCCATTTTATTATGAATGTCATTAATCTCATTGTGCCTAACTCACTTATTAGATCTACCACAAGTACATATTTATGTGTGGGAAGAGACAATATGTACATACATCAGCAGTTTCAGGAGCCCCCTGGGGGCCTTGGGACACACCCGCCTTGGATGGAGGGGCCACCCTACTCCTGACTGGCACTTCCTCCCGCAGCGAGCCACTCACCGTAGGTGAAGTACTGTATCTCGGGCGGCAGCGTCACTTCGCTGAGGTCGCTCTCTTGGACATAGCTGTCTACGTACTGCTGGGCTTTTGTTGCCTGAAGGAAGGCCAGGAACCTGGCGGTGAAGGCAGCGATGAAGATGGAGAGCATTCCAAAGTCCAGCACGTTCCACAGCTGCAGGATGTACTCCCTGGGCCCTTCCAGCCACAGCTCCTTGCACTCCAACCACATCATCCCTGCGTGGGAAGCGAGGTGCACGTGAGAGCATGCTCAGGGGGAAGCCGCGGCCAGGCGCCTGCCGACCCAGGCCCACCCTCGGGAGGACACACCCCGCCAGAACCAGAGACAGGGCTCTACACGTGGCCACCCACACGGGGACCTGTGGCAGGTGCAGAGAGGAGGAAGGAAGCAGGCAGGTCAGGCTCGTGGAGGACAGAAGAAGAGGTGTCCCTACAGAAATCCAAGTGGCTGACCATCAAGCCGTGGTGACTGGGCAAACGAGCCCCTGCAGGAGACAGTCACCTGGAATTCTAGTGACGGGCTCCCCAGCCACCCAGGAAGCTGGACTGTCCCCTCCCCACTCCCGCTCTGCCCCATGCTGGGGAGGCCAGGAGCATCCCAGGGACAAGACAAACCCCCCAGAAAGGCGCCACTTAGGACGAAACTGAAGGCAGAAGGTGCCTCGAGGGGAGAAGGGCACAAGGTCACCCTGTGAGAGGGCACAGGAACCAGAGAGTTCACCAAGACAAAGTTCATAAGATGATTACTTGGCCCAGGTTGAGACCAGGGGCCAGTGAAGGGGATAACAAGCCCATCCACTCAGGGAAGGAGAAGACACCAAGAAACACACAGGACGGAAGAGAGAAAACAGACAAAAATTTGGATCAGTAATCAGTGCACAAACCTGTTCCAGCATGCGCTTATTAAAATTTTCACCTTAACACAGGTACTCAAAATGGGTTACTGCAAAGCAAAGTAACCAATATCCTGAAAATGGAAACTCCTAAAAATCTCTCAAATGCAACATAAAGGTTCTTTAGTCCTCAGTTTATTTCATAAGCATTTCAATTGATCACAACAGTGAGTTACACTTAAAAACTTAACTTAGTTGTGTTCAATTATTGAAGTTGGATTTCTGAAACACGGTAAATTTGTAATCAGGTCAAGTTAATCATAAAAACTTATTCTGAGTTAAGGCATAACTTTTATAGGCATGCACCAAATTATTCAATTATTTTGCTCCTTAGCTCACCTGACACTGGTGATGTCCTTACCAGGGAAGGCATAGCAGCTTTGGCAGAAACTGACCATCATTCAGACAACTAGTTTTTGGTAAAAGTTAGGGTACTTGAAATCAAAGCCTCACCTAGAACCCAGACCATGATCAGCATCTCTGTCCACGTGAACTGAGTGGTCTTCACCCTGAAGATCTGTTTGGGGTAGTCAGTGACCGTGATGTTGGGCAGTGTGGCGATGCCTTCAAACCTGTCGGAGGCGTTGAACACCAGCAGGCCCAGGAAGATGATGAAGGAGGCCGCGTGTGCCACAAACTTCATGAAAGGGCTCCGCAGAACCCGCCCCAGCTGGAGCAAGACGGGGCAGCGGGGAGAGAGACAGAGAAATTTCACTTTAGAAAATGTGCTTTTAACACTTCACATACAGACAACAGATAAAGGAAATGGGAGCACTTTTAAAGACCTGCTTCTGTTCCTGAAGAGCTATAATGGTGAAAGCTAATCTTTACAGGGAGACTCTTGGTTGAAAAGTGACTTAATAAGGCCTCGGGATTCATGGCTTCTCAACGTCTAGCTTCCCTCGGGCAACTGCGCTGGCAGATGCCCTTCCAGGGCTCCCAGGACCTGTGCGGTTCTTGTTCCTTCTTCACGAGACAGACTTGGCGAAATCACAGTTCTTGCAGCTGGAAAGAAACTTTGAATGTGCCCTGTGCGGGTCTTTGATACTTTGTAACTGAAATTCTAGAAGTTTGTAGACTCAGGACATTAAAAACTCTCTGAGGGGTTGAAAAAAATAGTTACTACAGCAGAAGTAAATTCGAGTTCTCATTTCTAAATACTTCAAAATCATTATACCTTGTATCATATGAAAAGGCAGAAAGTATTAGAATCAAAATGAATATTTTATCCATTACCACCTCAATAATTGAAACCTCCAAGTAGGTTAACTTAATTAAAAGTCATCCTCTGAGTTTGGAAAATTATGCTATAGTGCAAAGCTATTCTAAAGTTCAGTTTGTAATTATTTTTAGGTGACTCCTGAAAAATCCCCTGGGACATGATGTCCTTAAAAGTCCTGTGTTCTGGTGGAAATGGAAAACAGTTCCTCCTGTCTCCAAGGCCTCCGCGGCCCTCACTCCTGAGCATGCGGTAGATTTATCAAGTGAGTTGTCCAGTCCACACTCTCAGCTCCTGCCTGGAACTCGGCCTGTGACCTCAAAAGCACTGAGGTTCGCATTTGAAAGACTGAACTTTGAACAAATGTCCAGAGCCTCAGTTTGATGTCAACAAATGACCAAGAACATCCAGGATTGCTGGGGCTGGAGACACAGGAGGGCACATGGCAGAATTCACATCTTCTACACTGGACACAGAGGAGTACACTGCCGTGTCACACTGCTGTCCACAGCCGTGGAGAGGGCACATGGGGCAGCTTGTCCACAGCATCTGCTTCTCCTAAAGGTGGAAGAGGAAGCTGTGCCCTTCTCTGAGTAACGGGGCAGGTGTGCAGTATGCTTGCTGTCTCCTTTGTGCCCTGGATGGGTGGTTCACAGCAGCTATACACGGGGGCACAAGGAATGACTCAACTCCCACCACCCCCTCTGCCCAGGAGAGACTACCACCCTGTGAGGAGTGGCCCCAGAGGTCCACTTCAAACCTGACGTCCTGTCCTAGCTGGTGAGCTGCTAGGAGACATGTAAGTGCTCCAGTTCATGACCCACAGAGAGGGACACCAGTGGGAGGATGGTGGCATCCCTCAGTGCTGTCCTCATGGATCAGGGTTTGGTGTTTATGTAGCTGAAGAATCAGGAAGTACTTTTCCACAATATGGAACAGAAGAACTTAGTCCAACTAGGTCCGTAATGACGAGCTTTCTGCCCTCGGCTGCCCTGGGCAGCCCAGCAGTGAGGTGAGAGGAATGAGGAATCCCCCCCAGACACACAGACACAGACACACACACACACACACACACACACACACACACACACACACACACAGACACACACACACACACACACACACACACACACACACACACACACACACGGTGCCCCGGAGCAGGACTGCCCGGGAGTCTAGCCAGAGTGCCTACGGGTTTCCAGGGCCATGTATAAGTGGCTGTGACTCGTTCTGCCTGACACTGCCCCCATTATAAATAAAACCAGGTTCTGGAAGACAGAGCAGGACTGAGTGGCCTCGGAGCAGCTCCTTCCCTCCCTCCAGCAGTGCCTTATCAGCCTCCCTGGACTCCGAGGCCAGGCTGGGTCCCGCTCCCGCCTCGTGCAGGGACCCCTCAGGCCCCTCTGCAGGGCTCCTCATGAGCAAGGCGAGGAAGGGTAGGGGACAGATGGCCTAAGCAAAACCAGATGATGTCACAGAGCCCACATGTGCCTGGAGGAACCGAGGGCTAGGGGGGCGACTCAGGTCCCAGGCTGAGAGCCCGTCCTCAGTGGGCTAGGGACCCAGCCTCAGGTGGCTCCCGCGGGCTCCGGCCAGCTCCGATGACCTACTGCTTGGCTCTCACCAAGGGGCTGTCCCTTCTGGTTCCAGCAGGTCAACGCTCTGCGTATGAAGCTGTCAACAGTGTGGGCCTGGATGCGCTGGGCCTTCTCTCCTGTCTGTCTACCCCGAGATCCTAACTCCTGGGCCTCAGCGCCTTGTGCCTGCAGACGTGGCACAGATCTGTGCTCGCGAGGGAACCAACATCCAGGGGAAGCCCTGAGCGTGAAGCTCCCTCCTCTCCTCATCTAGAGGGTCACACTGCACCAACACAGGAGGGTGGGGGCCAGTACCCGGCTGCAGGGGGCGATCCAGTAGCCGATGGCGAGCAGCGGGAGGCCCACGGCCACGACCAGCACCACCAGGCACTTGACAGCCACCGTCTGCTCCCGCAGGCCCGAGAGGTTCTCGTACCAGATGGTCAGGAGCTGCTGCTGGCAGTTGGGGTGCGCCACAAACTGGGGAAGGGAGAGAGAGAAGTCACCACACCGCGCGCACACCGCTCAGCCGGGCCCCACGTGCGCCCAGACAGCACCAGACCCAGGCCCTGGAGGTTCCGGAGAATCCTCCTTTGCCTTCCCCCCATTTCCCGAAGCTACTTCGTGACTGTTAGCAGAGCTCATGTGGAGACAGGCGTGGAACCGACACTGTCCTTCATCAGAGTTCTTTCTGACAGAATCCCTCCAACGTTCACTGCTTCCCGTGTGCAGTATGAGTGGCACCTGGCTCCTTTTGTGAAAGTGTGCAACCTGCCATCTGCCGGCTCCTGGCACTCAATGCCAATGGAAACGCAAAAGGTATTTGGCTGATTGTCGACTACTGCTGAAAGAGGGTGTTTCTAAATGTCTCCAGCCGCCCTAAAATGCGACATGTATGAAAAGTACAGAGACGCTGTGCCCCCTGAGTGTGTAGGTATTGTCACTGAAAACCCAAAGACCTGCAAAGCACCAGTGACCTGCAGGTGGTGCCGGGTCCACGCCCACTGCCTCGGGCTGGCATCCAGTGATTTCTCTGTTTCAGAAGCCTGCCCTCTTGCAGGGCCTTCCTCCACACAGGCGAGAAGAACACAGCATCTCGAGCGGTTATTTCCTGACTACAGGAAGAATGAACCAGTGTCACTGACTTCAGCTGCCACTTGAGTTCGCCACGCCATCTGCCTGCATCGTTGAGAGGCTCCGGGGTTCTCAGGGATCTGCCCTCTTCCGGGCAGCACAGTATCAGGCCAAGGTCAAGCTCCCAGGCCCCAGAGCTGCCATGGCGCTAGGTACGCCCTCCTCTGAATCCCAAGCTTGGGAATCTGGAGGTCATTCCAAAGCAGACTATGAGCGCCAACAGGTTTTTTAAGCCTTTACTATGATAAAATAAAATTCTCACTGTCTTCTGGAAAGCCAGAATAAACAATGACAACAGACCTGTTAGGATGCGCCCACAAAATGTTCTGGGAACTTGGAGAGGCAGAGAGCAGCCGCAGTTCCCACTGGCCAAGGGTTCCTCGTCCTTCAAGTTCTGGCCAGTGACCCTAACGGTGCCTGTCACCAGGCAGTTCCTCAAGCCACGCAGCTGTCCACACCCCTGGGCACGATGCCCCCGCATGGCCACCCCTGGCTGAAGCCTGCAGGCACCCACTCCGGGCATGCAGGCATGACAGCTCTGCCAGCTGCCACCAAGCCGCGTGCAAGAGGACTCGAGAGCCAGTTGACAGAGCGGAGGGAACGCAGCCACAGATGTGATATTTGAAATACTCAACTGGATCACTTGCAACACCACTACCTGGTGGTGTTTAAAGGGTTTAACGGCTTGCAAGAGGCTGCTCTTTTCTTGTTTGATGGTCAATGTATATTTATATGTTACGGACTTAGTGTTTGTGTCCAACCCCTGATGTGAGGGTGTCAGGAGAGGGTGTGTGGGGAAGTGATCAGGTCGTGAGTGAACCCCCAGGGAGAAGAGGAGAACAAGGGCTCTGGACTTGCACAGCTGTCCCCCGACTGCCCCACCCATACATTCTGCTGAGATTCAGTCTCACTAAACCCTCCGGAACTCAGACCCTACTGTCACCAGTACTGCCATTTTCTCTCTTGAAAACTTGCCCTCCGCTGGGGAACTAAGCGTGGCTGACCCGTGGGGTCTGTCTCTGTTTCTTTCTCTTTCTTTTTCATTTTGCTTTCGGTGAGGGTGGAGCTCTCATGGCAGGATCAGTGCCCTGTAAAAGTCCCCTTCCTGCCACATGTGGGTAAATGAGAAGATCACAGTCTGTAACCCGGAAAAGCACCAGAGCCCAACCCTGCTGCACCCTGAGCTCCCCTTCCAGCCCCCAGAACAGTGAGAAATACATTCTTTTTGTTTATAAATCACCCAGGCTGAGGTATTTTGTTATAGTGGCCCAAACTAAGACACATTTTATTATAAATTCCTTTCATTCAGTTATTCAAATCTGATGTCCTTATGCACTCTAGTGCTTGCCGGATGCTAAGCACTCATTAGATCTTTCCAGACCAAGATTCTGTCACACTTTAAAGTTTCTGCCTTTTGAAAACAATATTTCATGTAACATTGCAGTCATTATTCAAAAATGATAAAATCCCTGGGTCTAGTGCTGGGTACGGTGGCACATGCCTGTAATTCCAGCTATTAGAGAGGCTGGGGCAGGAGGATTGCAAGTTGGAGGCAAGACTTGGCAATTTAGTGAGACCCTGTCTCAATAAATAAAAAGGGCTGGGGTGTAGCTCAGTGGTGGAACACTGGTCCACAGTGCACAGAGTTGGGGTTCCATCCTCAGCTGTAGAAAAAAGAAGGAAGAGGAGGGGGGAGGAGGAGAGGGAGGAGGAGGAGAAGGAGAAAGAAATCTGTGGGTATAATCAAGGGTGACAACTTTCCCGGGTCTATGTGACGAGATTCTTAGGACCCTTGATGAGAACTCCAAATTTCCACCCCCGCCCTGGTCCTATATTTGTATCATTTTCTTATTCGTCACCCCTCTCTCCAGCTCCCAATGTCCATCTCATTATTCATTCACTCATCAGAATGGCTGAGACCTTGCTGAGAGCCAGACACTGTGCTGGGCACTTGGCACAAGAAGATAAAGATGGGGGTACCGGCCTTGCCCAGAGGGCTTGGCTCTGCTCAGGGAACGCAGAGAGCTGTCGCCAAGGGACAGGCGTGGTCAGAGTTTAAAATGAAACAGTGTTAATTTGGATGTTGGTCCACATGTCTTGGAATTTGGGGGGTTGCATTTGTGGGAAGTTGGACAGGCAGAAATAAAGGGCACCCCTGGTAACGCTGGCCAGGCTGGCACAGGAAGGAAAGCTACAGGCTGAGCACATAAGTCACCAGATTGTCACTACTTGGAAAGCCAACCTTGTACCTTTTTTTTTTTTTTTTTTAAGGATATCATGTTTCTATTAAGAACTGTGTAAGGTTTTGAACGACCAAAAATAAAAAAAAAAAAAAAAAAAAAAAAAGGATATCATGTTTCTTTTTTAAAAATATCTTTATTTATTTTTATGTGGTGCTGAGGATGGAACCAGGGCCTCACACGTGCGAGATGAGCGCTCTACCGCTGAGCTATGGCCCCAGCCCCACAACCTTGCCCTTTTTTTTTTTTTTTTTTTTAATAAGTCGAGGGTTTCTGTGAGGTCTGGAGACACATGGGCTGTGTCCACTGGGATTTCTGGATAAATTTCCTTGGGGCTTGTCTGCTGACTATGGTTTGAATGTGTCTCCTCCAAAATTTGGATGTTGCCCATGTGATATTCTTAAGAGGTGAGAGCTTTGAGAGGTGACCAGGTGAAGGGTGCACACCTCAGCTCTCGGGAGGCTGAGGCAGGAGGATCCCTTCAGCTCAGGAGTGCAAGGCCAGCTGCGCAACCTTACAAGACCCTGTCTCTTGAAACAAAAGCAGAAATCCCTCTACTAAGAGGTGAGGAGGCCCAGGGCCCTCCCTCCCCGAGGGGATGAAACCTTACAGAGAGAGTTCCTGCGCCGCGGTGAGCTGGCTTGTCTTCACTCTCTGCCGCGTTAGGGCCATGCCTGCCTGTCTCAAGGATGCAGTCCTCACCAGAACTGAACCTGCTGATGCTTTCTTGATCTAGGACTTGAACTACCTCCAGAGCTCTGAGGAAGACATCTCTCTTCCTGTAAAGTAGCCTCAAATATTCGGTTACAGCAGCACAAGGACTATGATACTCTGGGGCTTCAAACCCTGAGGATGGAAACATTGGAGCCTCTTCCTGCCTGCTAATCCCCAGACCTGAAGATGCGTTTGATGGCATGAATTACATCTGCATAAAGGTTGCACGGCCTCAGACCCCCGACGGAAACCTGTCCGTACCACACAGCAAACGTGAGGGTCAGTGTCTGACTTGCTGTGACTTGGACAGCCGGTTAGATGCCAGCCCAGATCACAGCGTCTGCTCTGTGTGTCATACTTTAAGACTCAGCCTAGCAGGTGCGTTTCCTACACACCTACTTCTACCCTCTCTTTATTTGTGATAATTCACCCTCCATGACATCTGTATTACTTTTAGTTCATGCAAATAGATTTTTCTCAACAATTTAAAATTCTACTACAAGCATATAAAGGGCATTTCAAAAGCAGAAGATAAAACCAAATATAGTATTAGCAAGTAAGGGGAAAAAAACCAACAAAACTAATCCCTCTAGGAGATGAGTTTTTCACTTTCCAATGACTTCAAAATAGGGCACTGACCTTTATCTCTTAAAACTATTTTACTTTCTAAAAAATATCCCTGTGTTCCACACCACAGCTAGCTGGATAGAATTTGTATGTTGTTTCCCAACTTCAGTGGACCAGCAAATTGAAGTCATTACAAAAATAATACCCTTATTTGAGGTTTTCTGATTTGAAGGAAAAATGCTTGACCCAAGCAAACGCCGATCTTTTGGTGGAGCAAAGCACCACAGCACTCTAGGACAAACATTTTTTTTTTTTTTCCTGCCAAATGACTGGTAGGTTGTAAACTGAACCACCAATCAGGACAAGCTAGACAGAATAATTAAATAGGTTTACACTTAAACATTTTCATTTTACACCGTCTTTTCATCAAATCAGATTTCACAATATTCACATATCATATTGCTGTGTAAAAACGTGGTAGGAACACTCTGTTTTTGTTTTTAGTGACACGGATAGAGCCTCAATTCATACAGCTTAAAAGAAAATATTCTTGTGACTGACAACTGGACAACTTCTTTTTACAGTTCATTGAGTTGTGAAATGTAAATGTAAAGCTTCTATACTGTACAGGTTTCCCAGACTGTGGACTGGGCTGAGGGCCTGCTGTTGTCCAGGTGCCTGAGCCCAGGGGTAGGAGAGGTGCGGGGGCAGCCCCTGGGCCTGGCCGAGGGCACAGAGTCAGTGGCTGCGGGGCTGCCAGGCCTGCACTGCTTCACGTCCCTTCCTTAGATGAATCTCAGACAATGAAACTGAGCCCGTTATGCAGGGAGAGGAGCCAGGGAGAGGAGCCAGGGGACGCTTCCTCTCTGGATCGCAGGTCCACAGACTGAGTGGTCTGCATGATCCAGGCCATCGGCCGCAGCAGCCGGCTCCTGGGACACTTCCCAGGTTGCACTTATCACACCTGTGGAGGGCAGGGGTTGAGGCTCACTTGAAGAGCAGGACCGAGGTCCAGCCAGGATTGGAACTCAATAGCCTTTTTAGGGGCAGAGTCCATTATTCAAATTGGACAAAGTTAATGCTTTTGTCCAAAAGTTAATTTTCAGAAACTCAATTTCATTTTCACTGGATTCCATGCTCTTAGTGGAATAGAGTGCCCATCTATGTAAACAGTAATGTTTATCACTTCTGGCCTCAGGGTTTGCTTTGGACATCCCACAGAAATAGTTCTAGGATTAGTAACCTTCAAAATCTACGCCCTGATAGGAATCGGCGAACGGCTTGCCCACTTCCCCCGAGCTGTGGCTCTGGCTCTCTGATAACGGGGGAGGGAGCACAGGGTCTGCATGTGAGTAAACACTGAAACTTGAGTCTTCCTCTCCTGGGGTCACGTGTGGAGCCTTTGCTTACTGTTCCCCGGCCCTGGACGTTTCCGCACACATTTCTCTGAGCCCTCTGGATATTAAGAACACCAATCCTCTATAAGTGACAATCCAGAAAAACCTTTTCCCAGTTTGTTCCTTGCTTTTTTTTAAAAAATAAATTATTTTTTAGTTGTAATTGGACACAGTACCTTTATTTAATTTATTCATTGATATGTGGTGCTGAGGCTGGAAACCAGGGCTGGCACGTGCTAGACAAGCACACCGCCACGGAGCCTTCACCTCAGCCCCCGTCCTCCACTGTTTTGTCTGTGATCTTTCTGGGGTGCAATATCATTTGTTTTTGCTTTGAGACTTCTTTTGCCTTCATGTGGGAAATTTCTTTCCCATGCAAATGTCAAAGGCACGGTGGCATATTTCCTGTCCCGGCCTTCTGCGTTTTCATTCTGCTGATCACCTGTGGATGCTCTGTGAGGCCGGGATGGAGCGCATGGGTGGACCTGGGCAGGACCTGGGCTCTGGGGGCTTAGCGCTGGTCCAGGCTCATGGCCTGCTTATGGAGTAAAGCAGGGAGCAGCCCTTGGGCAGGTGGCAGAGGAAAGAAGTCCTAAGTCGTCGGCCTCCACAGCTTGCCATTAATAAAGCCAGTGTCCACGGTGGAACATCGGCTGAATGAGCATGGACTCACGAGGCTACTGAGGACAGGGGGCCATAAGGCATGACATCACCTGGGAGCCCCGTGGACCAGCTCTGAGCCTCAGTGGGCAGACGTGTCCTTAATATCTAGAGGTCGCTTTGCTTGGGGACTAGTAAGGAGGTGGTGGTGAGGGAAGTGGCAGAGTGGAAGGGGTGATGCTCTTCCCCGTGGCTGGGGTGGAGATGGGAGCGGGGAGTGCGGGGAGTGCAGCCCGCCCCCGAGACAGCAGAGGAAAGGGAGAGCTGGGGCGGTGTTGGGATTCCAGGAAAGAGACCCCAGGGCGGTGACTGAACCCAGGATCTACACCTCCAGGTGTTCTGTTTTTAATTTCGAGAAGGGGGTCTCAGTAAGTTGCTGAGGTTGGCCTTGAACTTATGACCCTCCAGGACAGCTGGGAGTATAGGTGTGTCACCATGCCTAGCTAGAATGAAGTTCTTATACTCTGTTATTGAGTGAAGATTCCAAACCAAAGGCTTCAATATTCCTTAGGGCATAAAACAAACAGAACAGAAATGCTTATGAAGGGCTAAGTCACCTTTCAGTTCTAAATACTTTTTGTTTATTTGTTTGTTTCCTGGTGGTTGACTGATAGCAAGTTTACTATTAATGACACCTCACACATTGTGACCTATGCACCAATTTGCTTAAAATTAACATGCAGAAGGACAATCACTCTGCAAGACAGCTTGGTTAACAGGAGTGCGTCTGCAGATGAGCTGTCTCTGCCAACACGACACTCCACAGCAATGATAAAAAACCAGAGACGAGCAGAATCAATTCTCTTCTCTCAGGTGCCAAACGGAAGGACCACATATTGCAAGCTCCGTGAAGATGTGTCCAGACAACTTTCTAAAAACAGCTTACTATCAATCTTGTTGAAATCATCTTTTCCCCCAACATAGTGAAACCTCAACCAGCAAGGATGCGCAGAGAGGAGGGCGGTCAAGCCAACTGAATTACCTTGCAACTAATAATTTCCATGAAAAGTCATTTTGCTTTGATCTTTGCTGAGAACCTTCACATCTGACTGTCTTGTTAAGGAGAGGGAGATTTGTCATTAATGTCTGAACAGAATCCACCGAGTGCCACAGGCAGAAGCTCTCCACACTGTGGTTGTGTTGTGCATGTGTGTGCACACCTGTGTGTGTCCACGAGGGTGCAGGGAGACTGCCCCTTCCTCCCTGCTGCCAAGAGCTCCTGCTGGTGTGACTTGGAAGGGCCCTTTGACAACAGGCTGGGGGACTCACAGCGCCCTCTCCATGGTGCAGGAGCCGCTGTCTACTCAGCCGCAGAATTGTTCTGTTGGGGCCACAGAAACTCCCTGTCCAGGTCAGTTCCAGTGAAGTTTCTAGAAGCCCAGCTTAGTTCCACCTTTCCTTCTGGTTCTGTGAGCTTCCTAACACCCCTTACTCCATGGTTTCCTGCTAAAATCGGCTAAGTCTGATACCAAGGACTGGAGCCAGCACAAGGGACCCGAAACATGTCTTTAGTGACTGATCTTGCCTAAAGGTCATTCACTTTGAGCAGGAATTTTCATAATGGAGAAATGTTATTAGTTAATGCTTATTGAGCAGACACCGTGTAGCACCCTGTATCTGCTGTAACCAACCATCAAACACCCGAATGTTAGTCACTGTTATGGTCCCCACTTTCCTGACCAGCAGATCGAGCCTAGATGGCCAGGCAACTTGCCACTGGCCACTCGGGGAACCCATGGCAACATCAGGCCTTGAGTCCTGCAGGGTGGCTCCAATGCCTGTCCTCCTAAGCTCCATGCCACTCTGCAGAAACGACAGAAGCCGTGCTGGTCATTGACCTGATCAGGAAACCAGATCTCTGTCTGTTCTAATAATAGCTAACGTCTTCATGATCTGTCAGCTCCATTTAAAGCACACACAGCAAAAAACAAAAACAGAACAAAGAAACCTCCTCAGCTACAACATGGATAAACTGTCAGATTCTGGATAAATATGATTTTATTATAGTGAAAAATACTGCAACTACTATTTTCATGAATTATCTAATACTTTATTATCTAATTATCTATTTATTTAATATATATCCCTAACAGTTTTAGAAATAAATAAAATATATACACCTAACAGTTTTATAAATATACCTAACAGTTTTTCTGCAACAATCAGAATAAAAATAATCATACTTTCAATTTCTCATACTTATATGATCAACTCCATAGCTCTGGACCTTGGATATGTCATTTAAGTCAGTGACCTTCAGTTTTCCAGAACAACAGAAACCTCATCATCTATCTTAGCTATTTTATAGTAAAATAAATAATAACATAGTCTTGCTGCAAAGATTAGGATGAGAAAAAATGTAATAGTACCTTACATGTGAGTTCCCCAGCCTGTTGTCAGTGTAATAGTACCAACGACATGGGACAGCTCTGAAAATAGTAGGCATGCGATCTCTCTTATACGTGGAATCTAAACCCCCCAACTCCTGGAAGTGAAGAACAAGTGGTTAACTAGGGTGCAGAGGGAATGGAGAGATGGTGATTAAAGGGTTCAAAGCTTCAGTTAGACAGGGGGAATGGATTTTCGAAATCCATTGCACAGCACAGTGATTATACTTACATGTATTCAAGCTACAGATACTGTTATTAATTGCATTGAAATTGCAACAGTTGCCAGAATGTTTTGCATATCTTCATCCATTTAAATCCCACCAAAACCTGAGACACATAACGGGGAATGTCCTCCTTTTATATGAGGAATCTGAAACTTATAGATTTATGACTTATTCAAGGACCCATAATGGATAATAAGTGGAAAGGATCCAAACCTAGATGTTTATCTTACAGCTCTACCTGGATTCTCTACTCAATGCCTGTCACGAAGTAACAGGAATTCCTTCAGTCCATGGCATCTGCTCTGATGGTCCCCAAGCGTCCTGGACACTGGCACTGGTGTGCCACTCCTGGTGAAGCGTCCACTCACCTTTTTGACTTCATACTTGATGGCGAGCTTGACGCGGCTCAGCGCTCTGTGCCTGTGCACCTCCGGGGGCTCCGCAGACTCCAGGTCTCCGTTCAGAATGGCCTCCACCTCCTCCGAGTCCCGGCAGAGGTCCAGCACGCCCACCACAAAATCTTTGCACTGCATGGAGAGCTTCCTATAGTCGTTCTAAAAACAAGAGGTTTTTATAGTCGTGCTTAAAACAACAGATTTCCCTTTACCCAGCGGAAAGCGTTTAAGTGTGTGTGGATTAGCAAAGGTGTCCCTTCCCCAGACGGGAAGCCTTGCTGAGATAGATAGGGCTGGAGTTGCCTCCTCCTTAGCTAGGTTCCCCTCTATGACCTGCCCAATGACGCGGGACAGTTCTGAAAACGGTGTGCATGCGATCTCACTTACATGTGGAATCTAAACCCCCCAACCCCTGGAAGTGAAGAACAGATAACGGTTAACTGGGGTGCGGAGGGAATGGAGAGATGGTGAACAAAGGGTTCAAAGTTTCAGTTAAGACAGGAGGAATGGATTTTCAAAATCTATTGCATAGCACAGTGGTTACAGTTACAACAATGTAACTATTGTAATATGTAATGTTTCAAAATTGCTGAGAGTAGCCAGGTGCAGTGGCGCACACCTGTAATCCAGGGGTTCAGGAGGCTGAGAAGGAGAATCCCAAGTTCAAAGCCAGCCTAAGCAATGATGAGGCACTAAGCGACTCAGTGAGACCCTGTCTCTAAATAAAATACAAAATAGGGTTGGGGTGTGGCTCAGTGGTTGAGTGCCCCTGAGTTTAATCCCTAGTACCCACTCCCTCAAAACAAAATTTCTGAGAGTAAACTTCAAGTATCACAATGATAAGGGAGGTGATGAATATGTTAACTGCTCAAGTGATCATTCCACGTTGCACACAAACATCAAAATTTCACATGGTACTCCATAAATATATAAAATCATAATGTCAATTAAAAATTCTAGCTGGCAATGTAGCTCAGTGTAGCAGAGCACTTCCTAGGATGTGTGAGGTCCTGGGTTTGATTCACCATCACTACAAAAAATAAAAAAATTTACATTTCTTTAAAAAAAGTGATGTGCTTATAATTCACTGGTTCTTATTAAGTGATGTTGGCTAATTGGCAATGCTGAAAGACCAAAGGATCAAAGAGTTGTATCTGTTTTATACACACAATAGTTATTCTAAAGCCCAAACGACACTATATCTATTGACTGGCAATCTATTGACACTATATCTATTGACATGGAAGATGGACTACATGTGGAAGGACCCCGTCCAGGTCGCCATCCCTTGCCTTGTGGGAGAGTTTGCGTCTCAAAGCACAGTTCTCAGACCTGTACCAGGTGTCCTGATGCAGAAATGGAGGTGGGCCCAGCGACCTGTGAGTGGTTCTGACCCAAGCTCATGCTTGAGAATGTTTTCTGATAAACATGAAGGAGCGAATGGGTTCCCACCATATGAGGAGGGTTTTCTTCCTGGTTTGTCTGCAAGGCACATTATCACTCCCAGTAGAACTAGGAGAGAAATGCCTGATTATACATAATTGAAACCTCAAGGGTTACAGAAAGTCAATACCTGCGAGAAAAATTTCCAGGCCACTGGAACTAACACCTTGCTAAAAATAATCTGAGAGTTTTTAATTTCATTTGCATATTTAGTGGCGCCCACAGCAGTCCCTGCTGCCTCCTGAAGGCAGCTCTATTTCTAGCCCTGGGTTCCGGTCAAGGTGCCACAGACCATCTCTTGTGAAAGTGTCTCACCTTCAGAAACCTCTGCTCTACCTCTGTGAACTAAAATGCTAGCCCCTTTCGGAAGCCATCCAGATAATCATTTAATTTGGTACACTTGCGGGAAATAGAATTCCTCATTTCAACACATTCTGAGACTCCTTGTGTCTGTATAACCCAGCAATACTCAGAACTGCAGAATTCCTGGGCTTCCAGAGATCATTCTTTGCAAGAAGACACAAAGAATTCCAATTCTCTTCCTTTCAATATTTAACTTGATCTTATGGGCAAAACTGCACCAACTAAAATAAAGAAGTAGAGGAAAGAGGTATTGTTCAAAGGCTGCCCCAACTAGAACAGTTTCCATTTCAGATGTCAGAGATTAGATTCGGAACAGTCACAGTTAATCCTTCTCCTCTCATAAGGGAACAGATACAATGAATAAAACTTCGCTCTTTGGTTTCCATTCAAGTTGGTACCACACAACTGATAAAATTAATAAAATGTCCAGTCTCTGGTTTCCAAGCAGAGGGTCAGTTAAACATCCATCTGCCCTCCATTCCTGAAGACTAATGAAATGTTTTATTATAGCACACAGAAGTATTAAATCCATGCCTGTTCCCATAGAAAGCTCCCTTTTTAATACAGTCTTTTTAGATGGAATTTTCTCGTGTTACTCTTCAGTTCAGACCGTTCTGTAAGGTTTGTAAAACATAGGATGGCCATTTCTCCACCGATCAGAAATAAAAGAGGCTGCTTCCGAGGCTTGGAAGAAAGCTCAGCACTTGGCTTTTGCAGTGATACCCAAATGCTGACTCATTACCTTTAAAATCATAATCTGAAAAGTGTCTGGTTTTAAGAAAAGCTGTGCAAATTTTTTTCACATTCATTGTAAGGTCAGTCAAGAAACAAAAAGTTAGTAATCATGCAAGTTGCAAGGACAATGTTTTGTTTTCATAACAAAGTGCAGAAAACAATCATAGCTGGAGAGGATGGTCCGCCCTTCCCTCCTTCCTTCCTTTGTCCTCCTCCTCTTTCTCTTTTTGTCTGTTTGACCTGAGGTCTCCTTGCATTGCCCAGATTGACCTGAAACTCTTGACTCCTGGGAGTAAGCAACCCATGTTTCAGACTCTCGAATACCCGGGCTACAGGCGTGCACCACCAGGACCAGTTAATGGGGATCTCCTTCACTGCCACCCTGGGGCACCATTCCTAAGAACTACTGGGAGCCCTCAGGAAGGCAGACAGCTCCCTCTAACTCAGCACCTGCCCTCAGTTCCCAGAAGGGCATCCTGAAGCCTATGCTGACTGCCGCGTGGCTTCGCAGCTCAGATCATGATTGGTGACAGTTTCTAAGACATTCCTCTCTTTAGCTTTGCTCAATGGTCTTCACAGTGCTGCTTTTCCATTACCATGGCCCTCCAGTTGGCAGAGGGACTCATGGCACAGTACAGGTCAGGCGCTGCAAACCCCGGGACCTGCTCAAGCCAAAGCAGCGACTGCAGAGCTCAGTCTTCATCAACACTCAGCTCTACTTCTTTCAATTTATATGGTCTAATCTCCATTCCAATTCCTTTCTGTCCTGAAGAGGAAAACTGAATTCAACTCTAAGCAGGCTCGGTTCTCCAGGGTCCTTTCTCTAACAGCAAAAGAAGGAGGAGGTGTAGTGATTAAGCTTGGCTTCCCATAGAACCTGAAGTCAGACTCCTAGACTCAAACCCTGCTTCTACCACTGACCTGCTGTGTACTCTGGTGGAATTTTCTTACCCTCTCTGATGAGAATAATCCTGCCTTCTACAAGTACTGTAAGGATTAAATGCTTGGTACACATTAAGTACTACAGAGGTGCTTCAGTATTATCAGGTATATTATTCTAGCTATAATTCCTAGAACAGGGATCTAAGACACTCAAATGGAGGCTTAGCAAATGGGACCTGGGATTTAGCCTTGATTTCCTCATTTGTAAAATGAGAGGACTGTGGAAGCAGATCACTCTTAGAGTATCCTCCTGCTCTCAAACATTACCCTGCGTGTGGATCATATTTATTTTCTGTCTCCTTATTGTGATGTAAATCGAAACTGCCTTTCTGCTTTAAGGAGAGGCAAACTGAGGCACAGGGAAGGCTGGTGGCTTTGTTTTGTAGTTAATGTCATTTTGTTTTGTCTTTTATTTAGAAAGTACATCACCCGCTCAGTCAGAGTTAGGAAATTTCAATTTGCTTTCTCACTGTTTAATAGATGGCTGACTTCCTTGTCACTGACATGTGGCCAATTAGACTCAGAGTCCCTCCTGTCCAATATTCTGTTTCTTAGAATAGCTTCAGACAGCATTTGCACATCTAAAATACTTCTTTAATAACCTGTCACTGGGCTGTCCTCTGTTAATCTATCTAAATCTATGTCCTAGAATGCGCGACCTCTGCAGGTAATGACCTTCATGTGTTTTTGACACCCTGCGGATTGCAGCCCTCTAGAAACTTTGGAAACTGCACAGTGGCTGAGAATCTCCTCCAAAGCACCTACAGGAAGGCAATTTGAGAGGTGAGACATGAGCTATTACAGACCATTAATAAGATGAAATAGGCATAGGTGTCTGAGAAGGGGAAAATCACCACGTTTTCACCAGGGAACACGATATCTATTTTTCCATTCCAAGGCTGGTACTCAAAGTCCCTGCGGAGAGAGTCTTGCGAACACGGCAGAACAGGGCAAATTAGGTTACCTGCTTTCCTCAGGAAGAGCTTCGCTCGCACTGCCCTTTCAGAGCTCAGAGAGTCTGGGTCAGCCTGGGAAAGCACCAGCTTCTCTTTCTGTCTAAAGCCCTGACAGACGCCCGGCGCCCGGGATGGGAGGGCACAGGGGCAGCAGGAGAGCAGATGAGAAGGAACAGCGAGGACGGGGCACAGGGGAGGAACCGCGCCTCGGTCAGGGCAGAAGGCTGGCAGTCTTGGGAGGCTCTGACTGCAGGGAGGACAGTCCTCCCAGGCTCAGAGGGGGTCAGGCTACACCCGTTTGCCATGCAAGGAGAAAAGGAACTGGAGATTTGGGGACACTGGCCCATTCTCAGCGTGTGGCTGCCCATGGCTGTCCTCTGGGACTCCCTGCACTTGTCCCTGTGGGCTGCTGCACCTGACAGGTTATCAGAAGCGACTCTTCCATCCGAGTGGAGTCCCAGCATCACTGATATGGACTTAGCCAGCTTCGGGGGAAACTAGGACTAACAAATGTCTGCCATTGCTTCTCTGCGTGACTTCCCTGGGAAAACTGCAAACATGGCCATCTTTAGTAAATTACAGAATCTTTCAAAATAATTCTGTCTGTAGAAATTCTTCTGCAGACTTTCAATATACATCAAGCAAACTAAAAACAAGGTTCATGGTGCTTTTGAAATGGTGGCAAATAAGCAAACTCAGAATTATGTTTCGATTATTGTCTCAAAACAAAACAAAAACCCTGATATTTAGAAGCATTTTACCCAAATGTTTTTCTACTCTCTCTAGCCAGTTTGAAATTTTGAATTTTTTCAACCTGAATTCTATCTAAAAGACTTTCATCTTGGATCCAAGGAAATTAATCTTTTCAATTACCACATAATAAATGTCTTCAAAGGGAATAGATATAAAGTGATACTAATTTTCTTCTTCATATTTTCCCATGTTTTCTGAAAAGATTTTTACAATAACTATGTCTAGCTTTTGCATCAGGAAAAAAAATTGAATGAATTAACAAGATTATCTTAAGGCTAGATCTCCACCAGGAGATCTAGCAAGGTCTGATGAATAGATAGAAAATTTGGTGTTTGGAAAGCAGGGGAGAAAACCACTCTCCCACCATTTTCTTGCAACCCCAGAGGAAAACAGTTTTTCCTTAACCTGAATTTTGTTGTTAGCTACATTGAACAAATCTCACTTACATGTGAAAAATAATATTAAGATGTGAAAGACAGACAAACCACTCTTTCTGTGATTTGATACCACAACACTAAACCAAAAAATTAACATGGTGCCCAGAAAATCATTCAAGGAATTGATGCCTGCATCTTCTTAGGTGAAAAGTGGGAGACAAGAACTGCTGAAGAGTTTGACTGATTTTTACCAGAAGTACGAAATACACTTTTGCCCTAGAGTTTAACAGCTAGAACCATTCAAAATGCATAGGAGGATGCAGCATTGAGAAAAAAAGTCTCTCACTAATATATAATCTTTATAAAAATAATACTGCTTGACTGGAAATTAGGTCCAGAAAAAAGTTCACTCACTTAAAAAGTCCATTAAAGCAGAATAAAAATGTTCACTCATTAACAACAACAACAAAATCCATTAAGGCAACCCATTTGGGTGTCCTTGGGTTTCTGCGTTGACCTGACATCTATGTCTCACCCTCTGAATATACATTTGTGGAATTCAGGGAGAGGCATTAGTCACATTAACGAAATGATTTTAATAGTGTTTTATATCATCCTCTTGATCTTTGATTGTAAAGGGCTATCAAAACACTTGTGCCCATTAACAGGGCTTTCAAAACTAATATCACTGCAGAGGGAAGGAATAGGAGCGTCCACTCCCATCATGGACCTGGTCCTGCAGCTCCTCCAGGGCCCAGGCATCCCCATCCCTACCCCCCAATAAAAACAAGCCAAAAAGCTAATAACTACTTCTGTGTTGGGTGTCACCGGACACTAACTGCAAGACAAGAGGAAGAACTGGGGAGAGGGAAGGTCACACCAAATCTTATTTGGTAAAAGGGGGTGGAGAGGTCTTGAGTTTTATTTAACGTTTTCCCAGAACACAGAGGGATACCAAAATTGTAGCTCGGATTCAGAATATACCCATCCCCAAAGCGAATATCACAGCACTATCATCGACAAGGGGACAATCATCACATCAACTCCGCAGGGTGCTCCCAATCCCTGGTGACCTAAGATCCACTAGGTGAAACCCATTCTAGAGCTTCTGGCGCCTAGTGTGGACAGCCCAGGGAGCAGCCGGGCGCACAGGGCTCACCTTGAACTCCTTCTCGATGTTGGCCAGCTTGGCCAGCTCGTTGCTGAGCTCCAGGGCCGTGAGCACCGGGTCCTCGCTGGACAAGGACAGGTAGGCCGGGCTGGCCAGCCCCTTGTAGGCGTTGATCCGCGAGCGCGAGTGGCTGAAGGAGTCGTGCCGCTGCTTCTCGGTGCAGTCCCCGCACTTGCAGAAGTAGTCGTGCGGCCTCTCGATGCGCGCGCCCTTCAGCAGCAGCATGTGCACCACCTCGTACTTCTGGCAGTGCGCGGCCAGGATGATGGGGGTGATGTCCGGCGAGAAGCGCGTGCCGTCCTCGTCGTAGGCGTAGAAGTCGTCGTCCTGCAGCTCCTGCTCGCAGGGGCTCAGGGTCAGGCGCTCGCTGGCCGCGAAGCCGGGGTGGTTGAGGATGGCCTCCACGATGCGCACGTAGCCCTTGCTGATGGCCAGCAGCAGCGCGTCGCCGATGCGCGCCAGGTTCTCCTTCTTGAGCAGCAGCTCGGTCACCTCCAGGTGCTCGTTGCCCACGGCCAGCTGCAGCGCGTTCTGGCCCATGTAATCCACGCAGTTGACGTTCAGCGTCCGGGACTCCTCCAGCATCTTGCGCACCACGGGGATGTTGCCGTACTCGGCGGCGTCGAGGAAGCGCTCCTCCTCAGCCGTGAGGCTGGTGCCCCGGTCGTTGAACATGAAGGCCGGGCCGCGGACCGCCTGGCGCCGGCCCTTCTCGCGCATCACCGTCATGCGCCTCAGGGACGGGCTCCCCTCCATGGACCTAGGCGCAAGGACAGAACAGCTGTGGGACCAGGGCTCGCAGGGTCGCCGCGCACCAGACCCGGGCGGGCCCGCCAGGCCGGCTCTAAGGACGCAGCCACAAGGAGCAGCTGGACGCCAGGGCGGCAGGGAGCCCTTCGGGGAACAGCTCCCGTCCCCAGAAAATGCGGTTCTGATGGAATGACGGTGAAGACCACTCCCACTCAGCCACCCACCGCTCGGGTGACCCTGGCACAGCAGGCGTTCAGCCAGCCTGCCTTTCTTGGAAATAGAGGCTGCAGGTGCTTGGCACCCAGGCACCAGGTTGGGGACACTGAAGAAGCTTGTGTACTCATGCGTCAGGGCACAGCGACCCTCTCCACGCACAGCTCCTACTTTTAATGGAAAATGTCTTTCTCCTCTCTCTCTCTCTCTCTCTCTCTCTCTCTCTCTCTCTCTCTCTCTCCCTCCACCCCCGCCCCCTACACACAGATTGGCACTTAGGCCAAGCATCCATCTTGTAAGATATTGGTTTTAATTTTTTCTCTTAAGGGGACCTCCCCCTCTTCCTCCAAAAAAATCACAGGGTTTGTCTTTTCAACGACCTAATCAAGATTCAGCAAATATAAATTCAAGTATGGATTCGTATTTACTTTGCTGAAAGTAATTGTCCTGTAATGAGAATTGTTTAATTACCTATATATTTGCACTTTTGAACTAATAGGATATGGTTTGATTTATGTTTTAAAGTTCCCTAGTATTACTTTGAGAATAAAGTATCAAGGTACTAACTGAACATCTAGAATAATGTGCTCTGAAATCCTAATGCCAACCTCATTAGGTAAGATTTGACTGCATTATAAAAGCCATGTCATTAATTGATGTGTGCAGGGACTTGCGTTTACATCAATTTTTTTATGAGGTTGGGTAAATAATTCCATTCCCTTGTGCTTCCTCACAACACGTGCAAAATGAAAATTTATCAAGTTCTCTGGATTTTGCTCATAAGCTTATGAATGAAAAGCTAAAATCTTTTTAAAAGAAATTATGAGTCTCTGAAAAATGATGCTAAATAAATAATATAATTTTACATTGTGATTATCTGGAATACCTTAATGATTGGTGCAGTGTTTAGTGGCCATTGAAGATTGCACAATGATCGTGCAAATCCATGTCTTTACCTCTTCCCAGTCCCAGCATTCTGCTGACTGAAGCACTCAACATAATTTTCCTTTAAAAGTCGTTTTGTGTGTGTGTGTGTGTGTGTGTGTGTGTGTGTGTGTGTGTGTGTTGGCAGGGGGAGGGGGGTATGAGTTGCACCAAAAGGAACCAGATAAAACATTTCCCCCCTCACATTGCTGTCTTTTGAAAAGTGGCTGGAAAGGAAAATGCTTTATTTTGACAATACATTCCAGAAATACCTCCTACCATTGAGAAAATCATATTTATAGAGTCAGGGCTGAGAAGTCCCTGGGAGGCCACTGGCCTCCCTGGAGCCTGGAGGAGGACATCTAGGCTGGGCAGCCTCCCCAGCAGGTAGACCAGAGACGGTACCAGTCCCCAGCAGCTCTCCACTCTGCGGAAGGTTTCTAAATGGAGACCAAGGCCAACCTGGGCTCCAGATGACACCAGAGAGGACCCCAGGGAGGCTTGTGAACCTATCCCAGGACAGAGAGTGCTGAGTGGCACTGTCCTCACTGTCCACAGCTCTTAGAATTAAATATGTACACTCACTTATAAGTTCACATCTGTACATGTGCACATACACACATATACATATACTGTATTTATGATGCTCTCTAGAAAGCAGCTAAAGAAGCTTTGAACCCAATGAGGCCATGAGGCCATGGGCAGTGAACAGGGAGCCCTAGTGGACAGGGAATTCCATCTTTCACTAAACCCTCTCGTGTTTTTTGAATAGTTTTAATTGTAGCTTGAATATTTGTATTAAAATATTTGTACTAAATTCTTTTGAAACTTTTCTTTGAATCCTTTAATGGACAGAAATGTTTTAAATACAGGCACTTATTTACTGGCATTACATTACAGTCTTTCTGCAGCTGGCTGTTACAGCAGAGTATGGACGTGTGAGATGGGGGAGCATGGTGTGAAACGGGGTGCATGGTGGGTGGAACTGGGAGACTAGTGGGGCTCCAGGCTGGTATATGTGGACATAATGAAGATTTCCAAGCAGGCAAGAACTGGAAATGGCCTTCACTGAACCGTACAGAAAACTTTGTTTCAACCTCAAACTCAATGAGAGGAGTTTTAAACAAAACTTTTAAATATTATTAAAATAAGTATGTTTTATTACCATGAATGGTACTGACTTGGTTGGGTTAATAGTTTTACTATTCAGCTATGAACTGAATAGCTGAATGGCTAGGATTTTCATGTTGTATAAAAGACTAATTTAGTTATTGCCATTGATAATACATTAGTATTAACTATGAGTATCAGAATAAGCCAATAGGGAGAATACGTATATGGAGGATACAGAACTGCAGAATTCCAATCTATACTCAGATTGGTTTTTTTTGTGTGTGTGTGGGAAAAAAACCTCATACTAGAGAGTCAAAGCCTTATGGAATGGCTTTCTAGTTTAATGACTGTTGCCTACAAAGAAAACTCACCCATAAAACCCCACAACTTCTCTAAGAGACTGATCTGAGGACACTTGGAAAAGACTGTTTCATATATATTTTTTAGCATTTTTTAGTACTTAAAATTTTTCGAAATGAAACTTTCATTGTGTATATTCAAGGTATAGAAGATGGATATACACAGCAGAGGGAAGCAAGCTAGCCTATCCACCACCTCACATGGTTGACCTTGGGGGTGTGTCTGAGCAGCTGAGATCTACTTGTCTCCCAGGACTCCCAGGCAGAGCCATTCCATTACCTGTGGACCTCACACTGTGTATGACATTTCTTAGTATTTTAACTTTTTTTCTTGCCATTTATTCTTATCTTAGAACGTGTACATTGTATATTCGAACTGAAATGTGTGACCTTAATACTACACAACCTGAGTGACATGAGTCATTTTCATTCTGTTTTTAAAGATTCTAACACTGAGTTAAGTGTGAAGCCAGAGTTCTCAATCAGAGCGAGTCATCCTGTGATTTCACAATGGAAGAGCTGCCTCCTTGCACTGGTCCTCCTGGTGAGTCTGCAGTAGGAGGTCCCTCTCCCCGCCCCTCAGGAAGTCCATGTCCCCTGCCCCTGCTCTCTCCACGTTGCTTACAGAACCAACTTAGGCTTCATTACTCTGGACTGAACGACCACGGCTGCCCTCGGCTCGTCTTGACAATACAACTCTTTTAGCAGGAGAAATAAGAAGGAAACGGGGTCCTGGGGAGGACGCTGCGCTCCAGCAATGTTGGCACCCCAATGGCTTTCCCGGGAATGTCCACCTCCAGGCCCCATGCGGTGGTTCACTCCTCCTGCACGGTGCGAGAACCTTCCAGGGGACTTCTCCTGGTCAAAGCCCTGGGGGCCCAGCCTCGGGTCAGAGGCTCCTCCGGACCACGTACCAGCCCTTCCCAGGCCGTGGGGGACGACTGCACTCTGACTGCGATGCCCTGAACTGCGTCCCTCCAGAAGGCCAGCGCCGAGCCCTGATGAGATGGTACTTGGGAACAGGCCTTTGTGGGGGTATCTGCCTGGCTGAGGTCACAGACGAGGCTCTCACGGTGGGGCCGGCGCCCAGTAAGGAGAGTCAGGGAGGGGTGTCCCCCACACGAGGACACACGGAGAAGGCCGCCATCGGCACATCTCACCAGGACCTGACCATGCCAGCACCCTGCTCCCAGACTCCCAGGCTCCAGGGCTGTGGAGAGGACAAGGCTGCTTCAGCCACCTGTCTGAGGGAGCAGAGATGACTTGCACTGGCCACACATTTTAAGGCAAAAAAAGTTTTATTTTTCATGCTTTTTGCTAAACCGTTAAGCAGATGAGAAGTTCTTTCTGAGAATATTTTGGTATCTCACTGGGGACTCTCTGCCCCACACCATCAGAGGGAAAATACAGAGGATAAACCTTCAGTTTTCACAACTTTGCCATCAACTCACCTGGCCTCTGTTTCCCAGAGAAACCCGAGGACCACCTGCCTGGGGTCACTCAAAGTGCCCGTTCAAAGGCAGATTCCTGGGTCTCATCCCAGATAGACTAGTCGGACTCTCTCAGGTGGGGCCCTGGAATACATATTTTAAGAGAGCCTCCTTTGCAATTTCTATGCGTGCTGAAATTTGGGAACTTCCAGTAGACACTTAATGGTGGTGATATGCGGCTGTTAAGCACTGGCCACCCTGCCCCTGAACAAAGAGAAATAGAAATGACGCCTTTGAGCCGCACAGGCTGGGGACATGACCTTACATGCATTTACTCCCTTTATGCCTTGTTACTGTTTAAAATTGATCCCCAGGAGGTTACTTACCACAGCAAATACGCAGCCTACAGAAAAGTGTTCACCAGCGACCAATTTATGTCACGCCCTCACTTTGATCAAAGAACAGTATTTTTTAAAAGGTTCCTGCTGCCAGGTGGGATGGCACATGTCTGTAATCCCAGTGACTCGGGAGGCTGAGGCAGGTGGATGGTAAGATCAAGGCCAGTTTCTGCAACTGAGAGAGGCCGTGACTCAACATTAAAAATAGAAAGGGCTGGGGGAGGCGGCTCAGTGGTCAAGCCCCCTGGTTCAATCCCGTGACTGCAAGGAAAACAGAGCTTACTGCCCCTTCTCACAAAGGGTGATCATGGCGCTGGGGGCCTTGCCCACGCCAGCAGTCACTGTGCCATCAACCAATGGGATTCAGTGTAAGGTGTAAGCAGCTTCTCTCCATGTGGCTTCTGTCCTTTAATCTGACGGTGAAACTGAACAACTCTCCCTCCAGGAGGTAAAGGAGTTTCTCTTAGGTCTAAAATTCCTTGGATATCATCATTATCTCATCCTAGATTTCTGATAGTCTTTCTCCTCTTCAATAATTTCTTATATAAATTTTAAACCAATTATCTTATACTCCATGTATTTTACACCTATTTACATTACTTGATTTTTTAAAGATGGTATTATGAAGTGTCCCCCTCATTTGTACCACAATTGCATACATTCCTAGAGAGTAAAATCATGTTTTATTTTTCCTTATTCACAGGGTCCATCCAAGTGTCCCTTAGAGAGCAGGTACTCAATACATGTGTGCCTGGTTCCCAGCCTCCCCACCTGAACCCAGGGCCCACAAGCACAGCGCTCTGCCTGACCCCTCTACAATACCCCAACCATCTGCCTTCACCCAGCTCCCTCCAGCATGCCTATCAGGTTTGCAAGTTCAAGGTCATCCACTCTCCTTGGGAATGCCACTTGTGCTGGGCCGTCCTCACCATTCCCATAGCGACGCCATCTCCCACACTGCCGCTGGACTAGCCGGTCAGCTTCCCAGCAGGAGGACCTAGTGCTGGTGAAGCATCCTCAGGCAAGGCACTGCCCAGTCAAGCCCCACACAAAGCTGTAGAGCAGGGGTCATTTCCTCTGCTTCACAATGAGAAAGCCCAGCGCAAGGGAAACTGCCCAAGGTCACAGAGACGCACAAGCAGCCTGGGATTCACCTGGAGTCTCTGACTCCGTGCGTTTCCTGATTCTCCTCTTCCTACGCCCCAGCCACCCCAGCATCTGCTCTTCTCATCCCCGATTTTGCCCTGACCTACTTCCCTTTAGAAGCAGTCAGCAGCCCCAGGGACTCTGCACATTCCCCACCCTGCCTGGCCAGCCTCTTTCCTGTTCCCAGACTCCTCCTTCACTGTCCTACACACCTATCACCCTGCTTGTTCCTGAGCCATCGAGGGTGTTCCTCTACCAAGCGTATTTTAAGATGGATGTTAAGGCTGTTACTCTTTTGCCTTTCCAAGTATAAGGGCTTCGCCTGGGTGGGGTGCAGGCTAGGCTTGGGTGGTTGCTTAAGGGAAACGGGGAAGATGGACGGTAGAGGAGGGGTACAAAGGGAAAGATCACAGTCGTGTTCTGAGGTTTTGCAAGAAAAAAACAAATTTGCAAACAGAATTTGAGAAAAGGGAGATTGTCCTGCAGAATGAGTTGCTCAGTTCCTTTGTTACCCTAATTCTTCTGGAAGGAGCTCGATGGCGGTCTCCCATGCAGACAGGGCAGCTCTGCCACCCCAACAGCAAAGCTGTGGTGCTGCTGTCCCAGGAGGGCACAGAAGGAACAGAAGGGGCCAGAGACGAGGCGCAGGTTCAGTGAGGAAGGAAGCTCTGAGGGCAGGGCTCTGGCCAGGCCTATCGTGTCTGGAGACAGGACGGTGCAGTCTGGTGGAGCAGGGCATGGCGTGGGCAAACCTTCCTCGAACCCGCACCCCACGTGGTTTAAGCCTGTGAGGAGAGCCAGGCGCCTGCCAGGGCTGGGCCTGCCTGTGGTGCTGTGAGCCAGGCAAGGTCCTGTGCAGACACCGGGCCCTGAAGCCAGGAGCCACCTGGGAACAAGTACCCAGCAGAGGCAAGTCTATAGCATCAAGCCCCTCTGCTGACAAGAAGCACCCGAGAGAGGAGGAACCTGGCCCAGACAGCAGAGTGAGAGAGGACCCCAACTTTCCGCTCTGGGACACATGATCCCCAAGCCCCGTGACCACTGAAGAGCAGGGGAAGAGTGGATTTCTGGGAGCCTGAGTAATTCTATCAGTTGAGAGTATTTCTTTAAAATAACATTTACTTTAGGGCATCCAGCTAAGATAAATGAGGCCAGCCTTCCACATCTTTCCAGGAATGGATGCGTCAGACCACAGAGACGCTCGCCTCCCTTGGAGACTGGGAGGGGATAAGCAGGCAGAAGCCCCTCAGGCACAGGCTCAGGGGTGGGAAGGCCCTGTCCTGGCTGACCCAATCCCTCTAATCACATAGGCCAGGCCTCGCTTCCTGTCAGCTCACATCACTGCTTGATTGCTTAATTAACTTAATTGCTTAATTATTGATTGCTAATTCACTTGTTGAGTGTCTATGTAGTAAGCAAATAAAACAAAACAAACAATCAAAAACTAATTGAAACCACAGATTGGCGCTTTGGGCAATTTCCTCTCTCCTGGTCAGCGGTGGAGGCCGGGGACAGAGGCGGTCGTGAGCGCTCTCCTGCCTGCCCACTGCTCCTCCTGTCTCCATCCCTGAACACACTTCCTTCTGCCCTTTTGTCTGTCCAAACCCTTCTCACTGTGTGGTCCAGCTTACGTGAGGCTTGTGGAAACAGCTGCCTGGGGCAAAGCCCCCCTGAGGTGAGGCCCTCCTGATTTGGGAAGGTGGAGTCTTGGATTTTTTTGAAACCATTGCCGAGCACCGACCTGAGCTTGCTGTGTGACGCTGCTAGTCTGCTCATCAGTCTGGATACTTAATTTTGTCTCCTTGATTTGTGTTTCCTTGATTATGGTGTCCTGTGACATTCATGTCCCCAAGGTTGATTGGGACAAGTGCTCCATGCACTTAGCCTGGGTTCCCCTCTTGTGTCGTCACCCTAGTGCCTAACACAGCACAGGATGTTCAAAGTACTTGTTGATTGATAGGAGCCTGGAGACAAAGAGACCTCATCAGGATACTCAGGAACTTCCAGAAGGTCTGAGGGCAGGACAAGTACCTCAGCGAGGAGGTCCCCCCAGCTGTCCCTCCCTTGCTGTACTGTCCCCGTGAACGTGAAAAACGAACAGGTTGGAAATCGGAGTCTTACTTAAGTCATGTGGTGAGCGTAGGTGTTGGGACATTGAGATTCCACAGAGAAGAGCTTCCATGATGGCTCTCTGGACTGAATCCCCAGACCCTGGGCACCTGGCAGTGAGTGAGCATCATTAAAGAAAGGGCCTCAGGCGGGAGTGGTGACACACACCTGTAACCCCAGGGGCTCAGGAGGTTGAGGCAGGAGGATCGGGAGTTCAAAGCCACCCCCAGCGAAAGTGGGGCCCTGAGCAACTCAGTGTATCTAAATAAAATACAAAAAGGGGCTGGGGATGTGGCTCAGTGGTGAGTGCCCCCAGTTGAACCCCTGGTACTCAACATCAATCAATCCATCCATCAGGTGGGGTGGTGGCTCAGTGGTAGAGCACTCGCCTAGCGTGTGGGAGGCACTGGGTTCCATTCTCATCTCAGCACCATGTATAAATAAATAAAATAAAGGATCATTCACAACTAAAAAAATATTTTTAAAAAATAAATGAAAGAAATAAAGGTATCCTGTCCATTTACAACTAAAAACAAAGAGATTAACTCAAAAAAAAAAGAAAAAAGAAGTGGCCTCAAACTCATTACTGAAATGAGGTAACGAAGGAGCCACTACTGGAGCCATGTGCCAGGCAAGCAGGCCAAGCAACCACATCAATGTGGCCAAAGAAAGAGAGTGACATTCAAAAGTTTGTGACGAGTCAGCTCGCCACACCAAGGAAGTGGACCTGCCAGTGGCCAGGAGCCAGTCGATGGTCTGGTGAACAGCAAGAAGAGCCCACAGGAGGACCGTCGGGGACAGCCAGCATGGGGGTCTCGGCCCTGGAGGTGGTGGTGATGGAAGCCGTGAGGGGGAGGGGAGAACCAGGAAGCCTGCAGAGATGTGCTGACAGATGAGACCCTCTTAGGCCCCCCCCAAGCAACACCTGTCGGCCGTCGCAGCTGCCTCCAAAGCCCTCCGGGATCTGCCCAGGTGCCTAGTGTGGGCAGGAAGGAGGAGAGGGTGGCCGAGGTCATCAGAACCACACACCTTGAAAATCTCTAAACGTGTGTATTTGTGAAGAGGGTGGGGCACCCTGGACATGAGCAGTGGGGGCCCAGTGTGGAAGGTGGGGGGTGACCTCC